GGGGAGAGAAAATTCTTGTATATTCTGGCTAAGAATTCACAGGCAGAATATAAGGCCCCAATCAACATCCAACTATGAGGGTACCTCAAAAATTAATGGAAAAAATGGAATTAAAAGATAAGTTTATTTTGATGTTAAACTTTTTAAAATCCATACTGTTTTCTCATAATAAACATTTCCATTAACTTTTTAAAAAAGGATTGATAGGCCGGCGCCGCGGCTCACTTGGCTAATCCTCTGCCTGCGGTGCCGGCACCCCGGGTTCTAGTCCCGGTTGGGATGCCGGATTCTGTCCCAGGTGCTCCCCTTCCAGCCAGCTCTCTGCTGTGGCCCGGGAGTGCAGCGGAGGATGGCCCAAGTGCTTGGGCCCTGCACCCCATGGGAGACCAGGAGGAAGCACCTGGCTCCTGGCTTCAGATCAGCGCAGTGCGCTGGCGGCAGCATGCCAGCCGTAGAGGCCATTTGGGGGTTGAACCAATGGAAGGAAGACCTTTCTCTCTGTCTCTCTCTCTCACTGTCCAACTCTGCCTGTCAAAAAGAAAAAAGGATTGATTTATTTATTTGAAAGTCGGAGTTACAGAGAGAGAGGGAAACACACACACACACACATACACACACACACACACAGAGAGAGAGAGAGAGAGAGAGAGAGAGAGAATATCTTCCATCCACTGGTTCACTTCCCAGATGTCTGTAATGGTCAGGGCTGAGTCAGAAGCCAGGAGCAAGGAGCCAGGAGGTTTGTCCAACTCTCCCACATGGGTAGTAGGGGCCCAAACACTTGACCACCTTTTGCTACTTTTCCCAGGCCTTTAGTAGGAGCTGGATTGGAGGTGCAGCAGCCAGGACTTGACCCAGCACCCGTGTGGGATGCTGTCATCTTAGCAGTGGCATTATCAGCTACACCACAATGCTGGCCCCTCCATTAACTTTTTGAATACCCTAAAATTCCTGAATTTCAAAAAGTTTTGCATCAAAATAAACATCACTTAACTCCATTTTACACACTCTTTTTAAGTATCTTCATCTTCGTCAGAAATGCAAGAACAAAGTTGTCTTTGGCTGTATCATGAGATAATGAGAGTAAGTCAAGCAAATTCAAGAATATTTTTTTTTTCACTTTGCAAACTCCATTTTTATTTGGATTAAAAAGCTTTAGATGAACAAACATATGATACATACATGTTATAAGACTAATTACCACTTAAACCTCAGATGATGATGATACAGAAATTAGAATAAACCAAGTTAGCTCTAGACAATACTTTGTGTATTACCTATATTTTTAGTGCATCATTGTGTATATAATTTAGAGCCAATCTGTAACATACCCAATAGGTATCATGTCTGGTTTACAAATAAGAAAACTAAGGTAGTTTCACTTAGCTAAGTCCATGCCCATGATTGGAAGAAATAAAAGCAGTGCTTCTGATCATGTACATAGCTCTCTTTCTGTTCTACAGTGGAGTTCTCTCTTAGCACTCATTGAAAGTCACTGTATTCATTGATCAGGCATATCATGACAAAGTCCTGTAGACTGGATGAGTTAATAGACATGTAATTTCCCATAGTTCTAGGGGCCAGAAGTCAAGATGTTGGCAGGATTAATTGCTTCTTAAGGTTTCTCTCCATGACTTATAGACTGTTATTATTATTTTCCCTGTATCTTTACATGGTCTTCTTTCTATATCTTCAGTGTCCAAATTTCTTCTTCCGGTAAGCATGTGTCATATTGGATTAGAACTCATCCAAATGACTACATTTAACTTGATTACCACTTTCAAGTATCTAAATCCAAATGCAGTCATATTCTGAGGTATTGAGATAGAACTCCAATATTTTAATTTTGGGAGAAACAAGTCAGTCTGTATCAGTCACCAATTATAAAGTAATGACTTCATTCACTTTGTAGTTGTAAGTCAAGTATTTATAAATAAAATTGGTGTGGCCTTAAATACTTTTTGTGATATAACTTGGCTCTAATTAAAAAATCAAACAGTAACATTTTATAGCTTCAATTGCTATTTAGTCATGCCAAAATTTTTGTTTTTTTCCTAAATGTGTTCTCTTGGTTGCAAGTGGAAATGGATGAGTGGACTTAGGAACTTCATTCTATTAAAGTCCTCTTTGATAACATATTTTTCACAATATTAGCTTAGAAAACTAGGAATCATGGGTGATTTCATGATGCTATAAACCTTACATATGTAAAGAGTTCACTTGTTAGCTCATCATTCCTAAGAAGTTTTCCAAGGGAAAGTAAGTCAGAAAGCAATCTCCAAATTCTGTTTCTTTCTACCTTACTTCTTCTTATGACCAAGTGTCACACAAATAAGTATTTGGATGTGTGTTTTAGATTTCTAAAACCACAGAAGCTAAGGCAAATGTTCAACATTGAGGAGAATTGTGGATCTTGTGGATCTTAAATTAGTTGGTTAAAAACATGGTTGGAAATTCTGATAAAATCAAAACCTTGCAATCATCCCAAAACCAAAGAAATATTGAGGAAAACCAAGTGTTGCTATGTAATATAACAAGGATATTTGGCAAAATTCTTGAAGATTGGTGAATTTTCTTTCTGAAATATTCCACTGGAAACAATGGAATGCTCAATAAACAACTGGAGAGCAAACATTTAGTGAGATATTTATTCTTTAAAAATTCATGAATTAGGGGCCAGCTCTGTGGCACAAGTTAAAGCCCTGGCCTGAAGCTGCCAGCATCCCATATGGGTACTGGTTCTAGTCCCGGCTGCTCTTCTGATCCAGCTCTCTGCTATGGTCTGGGATAGCAGAAGATGGCCCAAATCCTTGGGCCCCTGCACCCACGTGGGAGACTCAGAAAAAGCTCCTCGCTCCTGGCTTCGGATCGGTGCAGCTCCAGCCATTGAGGCCATCTGGGGAGTAAACCAGCAGATGGAAGACCTCTCTCTCTCTGTCTCTACCTTTCTCTGTAACTCTGTCTTTCAAATAAATCAAATATCTTAAAAAATAAAATCCAAGAATTAAATTCTTTCTCCAGAAAGTATCACAAAGAAATGACAATGAAATAAAAGTAGAAAATTCAGAAATTAGTGTCCATAATAGAATCTATTTTTTTTAAGATTTTTTTTTATTTGAGAGGCAAGTTACAGAAGAGAGACATAGAGAAATGTCTTCCATCTGCTGGTTCACTCCCCAAATGGCCACAATGGCCAGAGCTGGGCCAATCCGAAATCAGGAGCCAGGAGCTTCTTCTGGGTCTCCCACATGGGTGCAGGTGCCCAAAGACTTGGGCCATTCCACTGCTTTCCCACGCCACAACAGATAGGTGGATCTGAAGATGAGCAGCCGTGATGCAAACTGGTGCCCATATGGGATTCCGGTACTGCAGGCAGCTTAGCCTACTACTCCTCAGAGATGGCCCCCATAACAGAATCTTAACTTTCTTTTCTTTAAATACTGAAGATCACACTGAAGCTTAAATGTCCTCAGGGAACATTAGAAAACTCCACATTTACTTCTTATGTAGATCAATGTAATGTGTTGGAAGACTAGAGGTTAGTCATGTCAAATACAGCTCCAAAGTTAATCATGCTCTAATCATGTAATGTTATTTAAGCAAATAAAAATAAAACAAATAAAATATATCTTATTTAAACATACTTTCTTAAAACACATATTATTTAAGAAATAAAGTCAAAGGTAGGTAAAGCTAAATTGATTATTTAATCAAATTATATCACCTATTTGTCAAAGTTTACAAGTGCATAGTCATCTGGTTTGGCATCTTGGGAAAAATTCCATTTATACCAAGACATTATACCTGCAAAGTTTTCATGGCAATAGTTATTTCTAGTTTTACTTAGTTTGGCTAAAAGTTAAAAACTTAAAATTTATTTATAGCTGAAACTACGTTTATGATATATTTATAAATGTGAGTAAATGAAAGCTTAGTTTAACTAAGGTTCTTCCAATACCTGAACCTTTTGAGATTATACCACACAGCATTTATTGATCTAGTCAACCTTACATGTACTCTAAAACTACAAGGGATTCTGAAGTAACGAAAGCTGTTGTATTCACAGCTATAAAGTTCAAAATTCAAACACATTGAAGTCTTTTTCCCTTAAGCCAGAACAAATTCTCCCTAAAGGATGACATCATTTTGATTTGTCTCAGCAGTACACAAAACCACTTGCAAAGATAAGGAAAGATGAATGGCAGATGTCTCTTTAAAGGCTACTAAATAACTATGATCCACAGTTAATTCTATTTGGGGGCCTCTGCTCAGTACTGAAAAACAGGCTGAACTATCTTCCTCTAACTATGTCCCTATTCCCTATTCTCACAGTTACCGTTCCCCTTTAAAGGGTGTGATAATTGTGCTAAAAGTCTGTACTTGATAAAAAAAATAGTTCTGAAAATATTAATCCCATTAGTTATCCTTAGTTACTCTTTATTTTTTTAAATTTTATTTAATGAATATAAATTTCCAAAGTACAGCTTATGGATTACAATGGCTTCCACCCCCATAACTTCCCTCCCACCTGCAACCCTCCCCTTTCCCTCTCCCTCCCCCCTTCCATTCACATCAAGATTCATTTTCAATTCTCTTTATATACAGAAGATCAGTTTAGCATATATTAAGTAAAGATTTCAACAGTTTGCACCCACATAGAAACACAAAGTGAAAAATACTGTTTCAGTACTAGTTATAGCATTAAATCTCAATGTACAGCACATTAAGGACAGAGATCCTACATGAGGAGTAAGTGCACAGTGACTCCTGTTGCTGACTTAACAAATTGACACTCTTGTTTATGGCCTCAGTAATCACCCTAGGCTCTTGTCATGAGTTGCCAAGGTATGGAAGCCTTTTGAGTTCACCAACTCTGATCATATTTAGACAAGGTTGTAGTCAAAGTGGAAGTTCTCTCCTCCCTTCAGAGAAAGGTACCTCCTTCTTTGATGACCTGTTCTTTCCACTGGGATCTCACTCACGGAGATCTTTCATGTAGGTTTGTTTTTTTTTTTTTTTTTTTTTTTTTTTTTTTTTTTTTGCCAGATTGTTTTGGCTTTCCATGCCTAAAATACTCTCATGGGCTCTTCAGCCAGATCCGCATGCCTTAAGGGCTGATTCTGAGGCCAGAGTGCTGTTTAGGACATCCACCATTCTATGAGTCTGCTGAGTATCTCGCTTCCCATGTTGGATCGTTCTCTCCATTTTTTATTCTATCAGCTAGTATTTGCAGACACTAGTCTTGTTTATGTGCTCCCTTTGGCTCTTGGTCCTATCATTATGATCAATTGTGAACAGAAATTGATCACCGGGACTAGTGAGATGGCATTGGTACATGCCACCTTGATGGGATTGAATTGGAATCCCCTGGTATGTTTCTAACTCTACCGTTTGAGGTAAGTCAGCTTGAGCATGTCCCAAATTGCACATCTCTTCCCTCTCTTATTCCCACTCTTATATTTAACAGCCATCACTTTTCAGTTAAGTTTCAACACTTGAGAATAACTGTGTATTGATTACAGTATTCAACCAAAAGTATTAAGTAGAACAAACAAAAAAATACTAAGAGGGATAACGTATTAAGTTGTTCATCAACAGTCAGGGCAAGGGCTGATCCTTAGTTACTCTTAACAATAATAGACTTTATTAGATCCACTCTCATTTATCCTTACCTTTCAATAATAGTTGATTTTATCAGATCCACCCTGATTTAAATTGGTCTAAAAACTTCAAGTTTTGGGTGGGACACAGTTAACTGGAATGAAGAAAATAGTAGAACAGGAAACATTTCCTGGTTTAGATGGATTGCTTCCCTGACCATCATTACCTCTAATATCACCCCTTATTTGTATCTCCCCTTCTCCAGACGTGTCCTGCTCTATATCTTTTACTGGGTGAACTACTTCAATATAGCATCAATACTAAGAGAAAATAAACAAGGAATCAAAAGGCTGATCTATATTGAACACTGAAGGAATGTTTTTATCCCAGGATCCTTGGGAACATATATTTCTAGCCATCAGGAAACTCATATATATTTTTTTACTTTTATCAAAAAGAGGAAGTAACTATCAAAAGGACAGAAGTAGAGCGTCCCATTCTTCAAGTATTTGTACACAGAGGGAAACAGAGTTTGAGAAAAAGTGATCTCATTATTGAAAACCTAGAAGTAATTATTGGGTTAATAAATTAACATATGCATGAATTTTTCCAAGTGTATTAAAGAAAATAAAACAAAATAATTGATATTTTAGTAAACTTTGAACTTTCTAATAACATAAACAAAAATTATCTTCCAGTTCACTAAAAGTAATCAAATATACTCATGTATTATCCCAGAAAAGTAGTTAAGGATAAGGATAGAATAACATGTTATAATGCCTAGAAAGAAAGTAATCCTGATTGAACCCATAGAGAAAATACTATTTTTGAACACTGAGATTAAGGACTGTCTTGAAGGCAGAACTGAATATATGTAGTTATATATAAATATGCTTAATAAGAAGGGAATTTTTCAAACATTTTATTGCAACGTTTGTGGCCATTTTAGATAGGTATTTTCATGTAATAAAAATTCTGCCAGATTTTTTCTTAATCCTTGGATAACCTTGTCTTAGTAAATTCATTTCTGATACTCAAATCTTATCTTTCTTCTATGTATTTTCTTTCTTTTTTTATAAAAGCCAAGCACTTGACTTATCTTTCTTTTTTTTCTTTTATTTGACAGGTAGAGTGATAGACAGTGAGAGAGAGAGAGACAGAGAGAAAGGTCTTCCTTCCATTGGTTCACTCTCCAAACGGCTGCCACGACCGGTGCTGCACCTATCCGAAGCCAGGAGCCAGGTGCTTCTTCCTGGTCTCCCATGTGGGTGCAGGGGCCCAAGCACTTGGGCCATCCTCCACTGCCCTCCCAGGCCACAGCAGAGAGCTGGACTGGAAGAGGGACAGCTGGGACTAGAACCTGGCGCCCATATGGGATGCTGGTGCTGCATGCGGAGGATTAACCAAGTGAGCCACGGCGCCGGCCTCTCTTCTATGTATTTTCCTAATTTGAATTGGCAAATTGTAACTTAAATTTCTTAAAACTTCTAATTTTGCTTCCTGCTGTCCATCTGCACTCCATATTCTTGCTCCAGAAAGCCAAGCAGCATGTTACATCAGGGATGAGGAAAGAAAAATCAAAGGTGTCTAAGAAAATAACGATCCTTAGCTCCAAACTCATGTTTTAGATAAATTAGGGCCTAAACAGTGGAATTAGTCAAAACATAGATTCTTTTGTCTTGGAATGGTTCTCTGACAGGTTTCTCTTGGGTATATGGTGATTCCTCATTACCCACGAGTTGGTCTCTTGGCCTCCTTAATTTCTCATCTGAAGTAATCTTGAATAGTGATTCATGAAGCTATTTGGAAGACGCTACAGTCAATGTTAGTTTTTCTTATGACACGAGATTAAAGTTTAGTTTAAGATAAAATGGCAATTAACTTGTGGTTTGAAGATATGCTCCAGGAAAATTCACCTATCAAAAATCCATCTGAGGATTCACTTTTCTAATTCAGTTATTCCCAAACTTTTGACTTAGAGGCTATTCATACTCTCAAAATTACTGAATCCAACAAAAGCTTTTGCTTCTGTGAGTTGTCTCTTTAAATGTATAGAAAATAATTAGTGAGACAAATGACATCTTACAGTTTTGCAAATCTCTTTAATGAAGGGTTTAACAGAAAGCATCTGGATTTTTCTATTTGTGTCTGCATTCAATCTATTAACATATCACATGTCTCGTAGGCTCATGGAAAACCCCACTGTACCCTAATGAGAAAATGAGAGTGGTAAAAGACAAATAATGCCTTGACATTATTATGAAGATATTTTAAGTGTAGTTTACTTATCATAAATCCACTATCAATTAAAGAATACATATATGTCACAGAATTAGCCCAACTACCTTTCTGTGACTACATGAATATGCCCATAGGTTAATACCTGCTGCCAATAGTTTTATCAAACCATACATTTTCCCATTCATTGATTAGTTTATTAGGAGCCTGCTATTTTCCAGACATCATTCCAAAATAGCTATGTTTCCTCTTCTCATACAGTTCAAAATGTAGTGGCTTATGACAGATGTTTAGCAGGCTAGCACACAAATGTTTATACAAGGCAATGTGATGAGTAGAGGAACAAAGAGGAGTGAAATTGTAACAAAAAGATCAAACCTGTTCACAGAATGATTTAAGAAGTGGTGTTTAAAAATAAGAACTGAAGATAGTAGCTGGGTGAAGGATGTAAGTAAATTATTTCAGGAAATAGATGTTAGAACTCTTTTTTTTTAAACTTTTATTTAATGAATATAAATTTCCAAAGTACGGCTTATGGATTACAATGGCTTCCCCCCCATATCGTCTCTCCCACCCGCATCCCTCCCCTTTCCCACTCCCTCTCCCCTTCCATTCACATGAGGATTCATTTTCGATTCTCTTTATATACAGAAGATCAGTTTAGCATACATTAAGTAAAGATTTCAACAGTTTGCTCCCACACAGAAACATAAAGTGAAAAATAATAGATGATTTTTTAAATGATGATGAAATCAGATCAGAGTCAAGTTGGGAATTGATAATTTCTTCTTCTTCTTTTTTTTTTTTTTTTTTTACAGAAGATCAGTTTAGTATACATTAAGTAAAGATTTCAACAGTTTGCACCCCCATAGAAACACAAAGCGAAATATACTGTTTGAGTACTCATTATAGCATTAAGTCTCAATGTACAGCACATGAAGGACAGAGATCCTACATGAGGAGTAAGTGCACAGTGACTCCTGTTGTTGACTTTACAAATTGACATTCCTGTTTATGGCATCAGTAATCTCCCTATGCACCAGTCATGAGTTTCCAAGGCTATGGAAGCCTTTTGAGTTCACCGACTCTTATCTTCTTTAGACAAGGTCATATTCAAAGTGGAGGTTCTCTCTTCCCTTCAGAGAAAGGTACCTCCTTCTTTGAAGACCTGTTCTTTCCACTGGGATCTCACTCACAGAGATCTTTCATTTAGGGTTTGTTGTTGTTGTTGTTGTTTTTTCCAGAGTGTCTTGGCTTTCCATGCCTGAAATACTCCCATGGGCTTTTCAGCCAGATCAGAATGCTTTTAGGGCTGATTCTGAGGCCAGAGTGCTGTTTAGGACATCCACCATTCTATGAGTCTGCTGAGTATCTCGCTTCCCATGTTGGATCACTCTCCCCTTTATTTATTCTATCAGTTAGTATTAGCAGGTACTAGACTTGTTTATGTGCTTCCTTTGACTCTTAGTCCTTTCATTATGATCAATTGTGAACAGACATTGATACTGGGACTAGTGAGATGGCATTGGTACATGCTACCTTGATGGGATTAAATTGGAGTCCCCTGGTATGTTTTGAGTTTTTTAAAAACAATATCTGATTGTCAGAAGTCTGGGTGAAGGATGTAAGTAAATTATTTCAGGAAATAGATGTTAGAACTCTTAACTTAGGAAACAATTGGGATTTGAGGACATGAAAGTAGGCCAAATTACTAAAAAATAAAGATCAAGTATGGCAGTTTTAAGGAATGAGTGAAATGATGATAATTGATTTATCCTGTTAATAGCTTCCTCTGACTACTGTGAGAAAGGTCGATTAGATGGGTGTGGGGAGCAACTGGGGGCAACTCGGACTAGACTAAGTTACTGGAATTAAGACTTATTCTATGCATCTGCTCTCCCACAATATGGCGCTGAGAAGGGAAACAGCTTCTACACAGCTGCCTCCAGTTCAATCAATAAACTGTAGGACTTGCTCCTGATTGGAGGAGAGCAGCGTACTCGGCGTGTGGGTAGCAGAGTTGGGATTGGTGGAAGAGGACTATAAAGGAGGAGAGAGACAACATGCACGAGGAACATCTAAGGGGAACATCTATCTGAAGGAACACCTGCGCAGCCCCCAAGAGAGCCGGCCGGCAGTGTGCCACTCTCCTGCGGAAGTGGGGAAAGTGGCTAGGGGGAACCGCCCTTCCACGGAGGTGGAAGGGACAGTAGCCAACCCGGGAAGAACCAGCAGCAAACCCGGGGAGGGCCGAGCAGACAAAAGAACAGCGCAGGGTCCTGTGTCGTTCCTCCACGAAGAGGGGGAGCGACAGATGGGCAGCATAAATGCAGGGCAAAGGCAGGGACCCAGATCAGAACTAATGGTGGCTTAAACTTCTCTTTAATTTAATTTAATTTAATTTTTTATTTTATTTATTTATTTATTTTTTTATTTTTTGACAGGCAGAGTTAGAGAGAGAGAGAGAGGTCTTCCTTTTCCGGTGGTTTACCCCCCAAATGGCTGCTACTGCTGGCGCGCTGTGCCGATCCGAAGCCAGGAGTCAAGTGCTTCCTCCTGGTCTCCCATGCGGGTACAGGGCCCAAGGACTTGGGCCATCCTCCACTGCCCTCCCGGGCCACAGCAGGGAGCTGGACTGGAAGAGGGGCAACCGGGACAGAATCCGGCACCCCAACCAGGACTAGAACCCGGGGTGCCGGCGCTGCAGCAGAGGAGTAGCCTAGTGAGCTGCGGTGCCAGCCTAAACTTCTCTTTTAAGCATATTGCTTTATTCTCAAAAACACTGCAAAAAGCTATACTTAGTTAAGCATGACTTCACAGTGTTATATGCTACTAAAGAAAAGAATAATGATAATTTGCAACCTAGTTTGGAAATTTTACCTTGGAGTAGATGACATACACATCAGATGAGCAGGATATCCCTGAAATATTTGACAAGTCTTAGAAACACAGATTTTGACAAAGTTAATTTGATGTCAAATATGCTAGGCAGAAGATATAACATAATTGAAGCCCCACCACGGCAGGAAAAGGTAATTTCAGGACTGAAAGATGAAGAAAAAGAATGAAGTTCCAAATTTATTTTTTATACATAAATCATTTTATTATTTAAATGTAGCGCTAACATGGAATATTGTATTTTTTATGAGGTACAGTGTAATACCCCACAAATATACAGAGAATAAACTTATCAAGCCAAGCAAACAGCCTTTTCATCTTTTTCTTTAACTGCTACATATGAGGGAGCATATACAATATTTGTCTTTTTGTTTCTGGCTTATTTCACTTAACATATGATCTCCAGTTCAATCCATTCTTTTATCTGCAGGTAATTATATTGCATTGCTTTTATCGCTACATATGTTTGCGAATTGTGTGTATATACTGTATTTTCTTTATCCATTCATGCATTGAGAGTCATCCAGATGGATTCCGTTTCTTGACTGCTGTAAATAATGCTGCAATGAATATGGGAATGCAGGTATCTCTGTTTCAGGCTGATTTCGAGTCTTTGGGATATATATCAAGAAACTGAACAGCTGGGTTAAATGGTAGGTCTATTTTTTGTTTTGGAGGAACTTTCATACTGTTCTCCATAATGGCTGCACAGATTTGCATTCTCACCAAAGTGTTTCTCTTTCACCACATCCTCACCAGCATTTGTTATCTTTGCCTTTTTGACAATAGTCATTCTAAATGGAATGAGATGAAACCTCATTGTGGTTTTTATTTGCTTTTCCTTGATTGCTAGTGACAGTGATCCTTTTTTCATGTGTTTATTGGTCATTTGCTTTTATTCTCTTGAGAAATGTCTATGAAGATCTTCTGGTGCTCCAATTTTCAAGACGTAGTACCAAAGATGAGACTGATCAGAATGACAGATTACAATGTATAGGACCGAATGGGTCATGTTTACGATCTGGTATTTTTTTCTAAGAACAAATGAAGCCAATATTGACAGGTTCGTATATACCCACATTCTAGTCTAACTGATGACTCCAGAACAAGTTTTGTAAACAAAAGGAGCTTTCCACTCTATCCTAAGTTCATTGCTTACTCTTGAGTACTGAGATCCAACTACATTAACTCTACCCATACCATTAAAAAAGCATGGGAAATAGGAAATACGATATTTATAAGTAATATTCTTAAGAGTGAGATAAGATCATGGATACAAATATTTGCCTTGGGCTGGTGCAGTGGCACAGCGGGTTAAAGCCCTGGCCTGAAGTGCCAGCATCTAATATGGGCGCCGATATGAGTCCCAGCTGCTCCTCTTCAATCCAGCTCTCTGCTATGGCTTGGGAAAGCAGTGGAAGATGGCCCAAGCTCTTGGACCCCTGCACCCACATGGGAGATCTGGAGGAAGCTCCTGGCTTCTGGCTTCGGATCGGCCCAGCTCTGAACGTTGTGGCCAATTGAGGAGTGAACCAGTGGATGGAAGACCTCTCTCTCTCTCTCTCTGCCTCTCATCTGTGTAATTCTGACTTTCAAATAAATAAATCTTTAAAAAAATAAAATATCAATTTTGTCTTCCTCTTTCTTCTCTCTCTTCATACTGCCATCTAACATGCACAATTCCTTAGTATTCACCAGAAGGGCATTGCAAATTTTAAAGAGGAAAGTAAAAGAACTCACAATGATTATAAGATAATTATTCCTTTGGATAGAAGATAATAATTAGCTTAACTGTATCTCATCTCAACTCCCTTGTATGTTTCTTTTGCTATGTGCAAGGAGCACCCACACGTGCCCTTGAAATGAAGCATTCTAGTATACAAAATAAAAAAAGGCCCTCCCTGTAGGGTTTCAGTTTAACAATTTCACCTTGAAAACTCAGATTTAATTTGAATGGTATTGACATTAAAAATATTTTAGGATGGAAATTAAATTACCTTTGGAAACATCATGTCTAAACCACCTATTTCAGTGAATCAAGTGCAGACTTAGATGAGATGATTTGTCCAGAAGGCAGATAGCTGGTTAGTAGCACATTCACAAGTAGAATGCAGTCCTTTGACCATTCTATTAATACATGCTGGAGGATGCCTAAAGTATCACCAAAAATAAAGCATTAAGAACTTTCGCCTGATGTGTAAAGTTGTAAAAAGAATAAATAATGGTCTGAATATATTCATTTAAAAATATCCAAGATAGCAATATGGATAATGTCTACTTGGTAGACATTAACAGAACCTTAAGGATGGGTGTTGCATACAGTAGTTGGGATGCCACTAGGATGACATCATGTGTCAGAGTACCTGAGTTTGAGCCCTGGCTTAACTCCTAATTCCAGCTTTCTGCTAAAGCACATTCTAGGACACAACAGGTACGTCAAGTAGTTGGGTCCCTGCCACCCATATGAGATACCTGGATGGAGTTTTGGACTCCTAGTTTCAGCTTGTCTCAGTGTCTTCTGTTGTGGGCATTTGGGGGAGTGAACCAGCAAATGAAGATAACTCTTTCTCTCTCTCTCTCTATTTCAAATATATATAAATAAATATAAAAAATACAACCTTAGACTTTTCCTTAAGCTTAAGGTTAAAAAAATCAACATGTACCTCTTTGTGCTATTCCTTGGAGACTGAAGATAAGATAATCTGGGGTGGGGAATTTTATCTTTGAAATTAATTGCATTTCATTTGCTGGATAAATACAAGGGCTCATAGAGAAAAATTGAGGATTTTCTCTTTGAACTTTTTTTTTCTTTTTTTTACAGGCAGAGTTAGACAGTGAGAGAGAGAGAGAGAGAGAGAGAGAGAGAGAGAGAAAGGTCTTCCTTCCGTTGCTTCACTCCCCAAATGGCCGCTACGGTTGGCATGCTACTCCGATCCCAAGCCAGGAGCCAGGTGCTTCCTCCTGGTCTCCCATGCGGGTGCAGGGCCCAAGGACTTGGGCCATCCTCTACTGGCTTCCCGGGCCACAGCAGAGTGCTGGACTGGAAGAGGAGCAACTTGGACAGAATCCAGTGCCCCAACCGGGACTAGAACCCAGGGTTGCCAGCGCCACAGGCAAAGGATTAGCCTAGTGAGCCGCAGCACTGGCCACTCTTTGAGCTTTTAAAATATGTTTATACATTAATAACTTTTGTACCTGATGCTTTTTTATACTATACACATTTTTATTTTAGTGTAATCTAACATTCCTAATATACATAAGAAGCATTCATAATTATCTTGCAGGAAATTCTGTAAAGAAAGAGGAATAAAAATACAAGTATGGTTTCACAACAGGTGCAGAAGCTGCACCTTTTCTCAGCTGGTTCTTTTCTCAGCAATCCTTAATTTTATCACTTTCTGCCTTTCCTTGTCTTCCATAACCCATGTTTTTCTTTTCTTCCTTCTTCGGTTTCCTTTTCCTTTCTCCTCCCTATAAACACACATGCACAGGTATAGGAGTTAGTCATACTTACAGATCCTTATGGAAGGGGGAATTTGGAAACTCCTTTGGGTAGACATATTTCAACTTAGTCATAGCTATTGTTTGCCTTTTAATGAAAAATTGGGGTCTATATGAGGGGCTGGCAAACTGTAGCCTATGAGTCAAATCCAGCCTACTGTCTACGTTTGTTTGGCCTGCAGGTTAAGTATATTTTTTACAGTTTTAAATGGCTAAAAAATTAAAGAAGCAACATAGCACACAACATGAAAAACTTCAAATTTCCACAAATAAAATTTTAATAAATTTTAATAGAACATAGCCATTCTCATTTGTTTATGTATGGTTGCTTTTGAACTATAATGAGTTCAATAGTTGAAACAGTGACTTTTTGTCATTCCTTTCATTCTCTTCCTTCTCTTATAGTCTTCCTTAGTAGTTTAGTGATTTTCTCTAGTAAGTTTTGATTCCTTCCCTATTTATTTTGGAATGTCTAGTTTTTGCTATGGCATTACCACGAGGCTTACAAAAAAGATCTTTGACCATAGTAAGTTTTTTTAAAATTTTTTTTTGACAGGCAGAGTGGACAGTGAGAGAGAGAGACAGAAAGAAAGGTCTTCCTTTACCATTGATTCACCCTCCAATGGCCGCTGCAGCCGGCACACCGCGCTGATCCAAAGCCAGGAGCCAGGTGCTTTTCCTGGTCTCCCATGTGGGTGCAGGGCCCAAGAACGTGGGCTATCCTTCACTGCACTCCTGGGCCACAGCAGAGAGCTGGACTGGAAGAGGGGCAACCAGGACAGAATCTGGTGCCCTGAATGGGACTAGAACCCAGGGTGCTGGTGCCACAGGCGGAGGATTAGCCTATCGAGCCGTGGCGCCAACCATAATGAGTTTTTTTGAAGTGACAACTTAGCATTGATTATAAAGATAAGGAAAGAAACAAAAGAAAGGAAGAAGGCAAGAATTTTTGTTGTACCATTTTATAATTTCTATGTTGCCTATATCTAACATAATATAATCATGATTTTTTGGTATCTTGTTTTTTAGTCTTTGTACTAAAGGTATGAATGGTTTAAATGACAAGTGTAAAATATGACAGCACTCTGAATTTGTCTCTATAATTACTCTCACAAGTGAGTTTTCTACCTCCAGATATTTTCTTACTCATTAGTCTCTTTCAGTTCAAAGAACTACCCTTGGCATCATTTGCAGGATAATTCTGGTGGCAATAAATACTCTGAGCTTTAGTTTGCTTTGGAATGTCTTTTTCTTGTCTTCATCTCTGAAGCATGGAAATAATAGAGTGTATGCCGAAGAATGATTACATGCTGAGTCAGGAAATAGAGAACGTGTGGGCCTGACTTGGTTTTGTAATTGGATCTCTCATGATAACTACCTACTGAGGGCACACCCACATTGAAATAAGGACCTGGCCGGCGCCGCGGCTCACCAGGCTAATCCTCCCCCTAGCGGCGCCGGCACACCGGGTTCTAGTCCCGGTCGGGGCGCCGGATTCTGTCCCGGTTGCCCCTCTTCCAGGCCAGCTCTCTGCTGTGGCCAGGGAGTGCAGTGGAGGATGGCCCAGGTGCTTGGGCCCTGCACCCCATGGGAGACCAGGAAAAGCACCTGGCTCCTGGCTCCTGCCATCGGATCAGTGCGGTGCGCCGGCCGCAGCGCGCTGGCTGCGGCGGCCATTGGAGGGTGAACCAACGGCAAAGGAAGACCTTTCTCTCTCTGTCTCTCTCTCTCACTGTCCACTCTGCCTGTCAGACAAAAAAAAATAAAAATAGAGGAAATAGGGTCCTGTCACTGGGCCCATCTTCTAAACACCTTATCTGAGTTATGTTTCCAAAGTTGTAACTCCATAAATTTATGATTTTGGGATTTAAATATCTGCATGAGTTCAAGAGCCACATCTTGTTATAATCATAGCAAATACAGCCACTTTTGATGGGGTCCATTTAATTCAAGTACATGATAGAAAGAATCCTTTTAACTTGGAACTTCATAAAGAATAAATGATTTGATTGACAATGATTAAGCTTAATACATGGAATGAATTATGTACTTCCCTAAGTAATTTCTATAGATCAAATATAGATAAATACCTACCGGGAACAGTAGATAAAGAAGTATGGTTTACTGTCCACTATGAATTTGTTCTATGTAAGTCAGTGGTACAACCTTGAGTCCAGACAAATGGTAATGTCTCTTATATTTGTGAAAACATGTTGCATAAACACCCAGGTTCTGGACTTTAACTGCCTATTCTCCAGTGCAGTCTTGCTTATCAAAAATTGAGATTTTCAGCAAAGTCATCCTTTCTTTCTTTCTTCTTCTTTTTTTTTTTGGGGGGGGGGGCTCAATTATACATCTTTTAAAAAAAGGCACTAATTGTTTCTTACTTGAAGTAGATTTTTAAGAACTATCTGAGTTACTACAGTTACTACTTATAAAATCTTCAGAATATGTTATCTTCAATGCTGCCTGTAAAATCCTTGGAACACATAATCTTCAACAAATGTTAGCTATTGGTTTTCTCCTATAAATGTTCCTTAAAGATAAGAATTTTATCCCTTTTGGGTTCTGGGTGTATTGTAGTGTTTGATGTAGTGCTTAATACTTTATATGCACCCCATTAAGTATTTGTTGAATAACTGAACTTCTCCAGACTTTCCTTTCTGTATCATTCTGCTTTTACAGTATTTCCCAAATCTTTTATTTTACAATTCTGATTTTCAGCCCATGGTGACAAGAAATTAATTTACTTTTTTTTTTTTTGACAGGCAGGGTTAGACGGTGAGAGAGACAGAGAGAAAGGTCTTCCTTCTGTTGGTTCACCCCTCAAATGGCCACTACAGCCGGTGCAATGCGGCCAGCGCGCCGCACCACGCCGCACGGATCCAAAACCAGGAGCCAGCTGCTTCCTCCTGATCTCCCAAGTGGGTGCAGGGCCCAAGCACTTGGGCCATCCTCCACTGCCTCCCTGGGCCAAAGCAGAGAGCTGGACTGGAAGAGGAGCAACCAGGACAGAATCTGGCGCCCCAAACAGTAGTGTGCTGCGTCGCCGGCCAAGAAATTAATTTAACTATTTCTTTTGATTAGAATTTTAAAAAATTCTTTTTCTCTATTGTTTCTCAAAATTCAGGTTTATATAATAGTTTCCATCTCTATGATCTCTATAAAAATACCACTGTATTCCTACTTGATATTTTACAGTTAATAAAACTGTTCTACAAATTTTCTCCATTATCAAACATCCCTGCTTTGGTGAATTCACATAAGTGGATTCTTCTGTGAAGTTTCATTGGATAAGAATTTATACATGTAGAAAGAATTCTCATTTGAGAATTGCAGGGAGGTCTCTTTAATTATTAGAAGTCCTACATTGTTGTTGTGTCTTCAGGACTGTATTTTAAGTACATAAATGCAGCAGAGGAAATTTCACACCAGTATTAACATGTATCAAACAGTATGACTTCTATAAGAGTATTTTTATAATTCTTATGAGATTCTGTTAAAATTAAGGCTCTCTTAATCAATTTGGAAAAGTTTTGAAAATCTTAGATGAAGGCAATGATAAACAGCTTGAATTTTGCCAGTAATATTTTTCATTCCTTTATAACTCTTATTACAAACCACCTGTTATCCTTTCTGCTTCCTGTATGTGGGTTTTGCAGAATATTCTAAACCTGATAATTCTCTAATGTTTGCAGTCCCCTTATTTTTCTCTCTCCCTTATCCAGAGTTGCTCAATAGAATCATCTGCAGTGAGGTAATTTTGTATATTTGTGCTTTCCAAAGGGTTAGCCTCAAATGGCTATGAAGCAATTTGAAAGTGGTTACTGAGACCAAGAAACTGAAAATTTGATTCAGCTCATTCTAATTTAATTCAAATAACTACATTAAGTGGCCAGTGGCTACCTTACTGGATAACACATTGGGATTGATAAATCAAAGGGTTTTGATAATCTCATATAATTCTTTGGAGTTCAAAACATATGAAATGACTCAATCCTATGGCATCATTTTTTAGTGACTCAAATTCTTTTACATTACTATGAATTAAAAATGAATGGACGGGGCCGGTACTGTGGCGTAGTGGGCTTAGCTTCCGCCTGTGGCACCAGAATCCCATATGGGTGCCAGTTCTAATTCCAGCTGCCCTTCTTCCAATCCAGCTCTCTGCCATGGCCTGGGAAAGCAGCAGAAGATGGCCCAAGTGCTTGGGCCCTTGCACTTGCATGGGAGGCCTGGAAGAAGCTCCTGGCTCCTGACTTCTGATCAGCTCAGCTTCGGCCATTGAGACCATCTGGGGAGTGAACCAGAGGGTGGAAGACTTCTCTCTCTCTTTGCCTCTGACTCTCTCTGTAACTGTACCTCTCAAATAAATAAATAAAATCTTTTAAAAAAATTAATGTAATCCTGGGAATAAATAAATGTCTTTAAATGTCTTATCAGTTTTTGACACTTTATATTAAATTGATTATCTATTGGTAAACTTATCTGCAGAACTACTGACCCTAACAAGAGCATTTTCTTTTTTTTAATATTTTTTATTTTTAATTTGTGTCTCATAAATGCATTACATTTCTAGTAATTCTTTGCACCGTGCCTGCCCTCCCACCCTTTCTACCTCCTCCCCTTCCTGCTCTGTTTTATCCAAGAAAAAGAAATAAAAAGAAAGAAGAACAAAAGAACAAATGGAGTTCTAAAAAAATACTGAGTAGTGTTCCTCAACTATCTACACAAAGGCTGATCTTGTTATTGCTTCTCAAAGGTGATTTCACTCCCCCCCCCCTTCCCCTTCCTTCCTTCCCCTTTTTTCCTTTTAGAAACTTAATTGTCTTTAAAGAAGAACCCAAGGGGGGCCAGTGCCATGGTGTAGTAGGTTAATCCTCTGCCTGCGGCACCAGCATCCCATATGGGCACTGGTTCTAGTCCCGGCTGCTCCATTTCCAGTCCTTAGCTCTCTGCTATGGCTTGGGAAAGCAGTAGAAGGTGGCCCAAGGCCTTGTGCCCCTGCACCCACGTGGGAGACAAGGAAGAAGCTCCTGGCTCCTGGCTCCTGGTTTTGGATCAGCGCAGCTCTGATTGCTGAGGCCAATTGAGGAGTGAACCAGCAGATGGAAGACTTTCCTCTCTCTCTCTCCCTCTCACTGTCTGTAACTCTACCTCTCAAATAAAATAAATAAAATCTTTAAAAAAAAAGAAGAACCCAAAGATGTTACTTCTTTTGTGATCTCTTAGACATAACTATAATTTATGAGACACATAATATCCTTCTTTTAATATACTAAAAGGAATTAATTCTTGAAAACAAGTTTTACTATTAAGTTTCATGGTACAACTCTTTGAGGACAGAGGTCCTACATAGGAAGTTAGTGCACAGTAACTCTTGTTTATTTAACAAAGAACACTCTTATGTATGACATCAGTAATTGCCCAAGGCTCTTGACATGATGACAATTTTTTTTTTTTTTGACAGGCAGAGTGGACAGTGAGAGACACAGACAGAGAGAAAGGTCTTCCTTTGCCGTTGGTTCACCCTCCAATGGCCGCCGCGGCCGGTGCGCTGCGGCTGGCGTACCGCGCTGACCCGATGGCAGGAGCCAGGAGCCAGGTGCTTTTCCTGGTCTCCCATAGGGTGCAGGGCCCAAGTACTTGGGCCATCCTCCACTGCACTCCCTGGCCACAGCAGAGAGCTGGCCTGGAAGAGGGGCAACCGGGACAGAATCCGGCGCCCCGACTGGGACTAGAACCCGGTGTGCTGGCACTGCAAGGCGGAGGATTAGCCTAGTGAGCTGCGGCGCTGGCTGACAATTGCTTTAAGTAGCAATCTAACCTCAGAATCAGCCATGAAGGTACAATGGTCAGGCTGGAAAGCCCAAGAGGGGCATATCAGGCATGGAAAGCCAAGACACTCTGGCAAAAGATGTCATACACAAAGGACCCCTTACCCAGGGTGAAACCCCAGAAGAAAGAATGGGCCACCAAAGAAGGTTGTACTTATCTCTGAAGGAAGGAGAGAACTTCCACTTTGCTTATGGCTCTGTTGAGCTAGTGGATCCTGGTCTCCCATGGGGTGCAGGGCCCAGGTACTTGGGCCATCCTCCACTGCAATCCCTGGCCACAGCAGAGAGCTGACCTGGAAGAGGGGCAACTGGGACAGAATCCGGCCAGGGACTAGAACCGGGTGTGCTGGCACCACAAGGCGGAGGATTAGCCTAGTGAGCCGCGGCACCGGCCCTGCCAGCATTTATTGTTTGCTGATTTCTGTATGGAAGCCATTCTAACTGGGGTGAGGTGATACCTCATTGTGGTTTTGATTTGAATTTCTCGGATTGCTAGAAATCCCGAGCATTTTTTTATGTGTCTGTTGGCCATTTGGATTTCCTCTTTTGAAAAATGTGTGTTTAAGTCCTTTACCCATTTCTTAACTGGATTGTTGTTTTATTGTTGTGGAGTTTAAGAAAAGCATTTTCATAACAAACAAGTAATACTAAAATTTTTCTCCATTTTTTCCCATAGTGGATGATACTAATATAAGTGGTTTCTTTTTGTGTGTGTGTGTGTTTTTTGTTTGTTTTGTTTTGTTTTTGACAGAGTTAGGCAGTGAGAGAGAGAGAGAGACAGAGAGAAAGGTCTTCCTTTTCCGTTGGTTCACCCTCCAAATGGTCACTACGGCAGGCATGCTGCGCCGATCCGAAGCCAGGAGCCAGGTGCTTCCCCCTGGTCTCCCATGCGGGTGCAGGCACCCAAGCACCTGGGGCATCCTCCACTGCCTTCTCCGGGCCACAGCAGAGAGCTGGACTGGAAGAGGATCAACCGGGACAGAATCCGGCGTCCAACTGGGACTAGAACCCGGGGTGCCGGGGCCGCAGGCAGAGGATTAGCCTAGTGAGCCGCGGCGCTGACCAATATAAGTGGTTTCTTCAAAACTGTTCCTGGTCAATGTAGATAGTTTACATGTGTCCTGTGCTGGGATGAATGAACACAGACTTTCGAAATCCAGGCAAGAAGACTCACAAAACCTTATTTGTCTTTCTTGACCAAAAGTAGGGCAGGTATTTTTACAGTTCCTTCTCTAGACATCACACTCTTGTTACCACAAATCTAGCTTCTTCCTGCATAAATATATCAGGACTGTCTTATTGCAAACAGGAATTGTATTTACTCTTCTTGTTCTCCTCTTCTCAGAAATATAAAAATATCCAAGACCTGGGAAGCACTCACACAATAAATGAAATATTTTATTCGTACTCATACTTTGAATTAATGGAAATGATTTAGCGAAATAATTCTGACTTTAAAAGATAAAAATAAAAATACAGTCAAGAAAACTATTGTACTTAGAAAAATAAGTGATGCTTATGTGGCAGTGGAACTGCCTTAAAAAGATTTGTGCAGACAAGATAATAATATGAGGCATCTGTTTTTAGGATGTTGTACGTGTTGCTTAGTTGATTGTGGGTCAATGGAATAAAAAATTTCATGATAATGAGGACATATGAAATAGAATATCTAGTATCCAAATGACATATGTCTTGGCACTGAGTAAAAAAATTCCTAACTTGCGTGTAACCCAGTACATAGGTTTCCGTTTGCAACATGGCAAAGGGCATTAGTAGGATGGGGACATTTTAGCCTCAATGCCTGGGCTGCCACACAGGAGATTCTTCTGGATAAGAAAAGAGGCAAAATTTATCATAAATTCCACTTGTACTGCAAGGGCTCCAAGAATTCCCTTCTATTATCAGTTGCTGAAGATTGCCAAAATTGATGCAATGGATGCTAATTTGGCATAAAATAGATATATACTAGTTTTCTACTTTGAAGAGAAAAGAAAGTTGTCATTGTTGAGGATAAAATAATTGAAGAAGTCTGTCTTTATCACAATTTTTTTTTCCTCCACAGGCTAGCATCTGTTCTTGGCCTTGGAGAAGTTCCTTTCTGTTCATCCATTAAAGAGACACTTTCCATTGTCCTTAAAATAAAATGGATAATCTTTGAGTTTTAAAAAGTATGGAAGTATCAAAAGAGAAAAAGGAAAAGGAAGGGAAACATGGAGAGAGGGAGCAGGAAGAAAGGGGGGAAAAAGAAGGGGGAAATGTTAATGATACTGTGCAAATAAATGACAGAAACATTATAAGTGGTTTATGAAATGTTTCATTTTCTTTGGTAAAAAATAAGAATAGCTCCCTTAACTATGAGATAAAGGTGGGTTGCCTGATAAAATACAGGATGTCAAAATTTTGGAAAATAATAAACAATGTATTTCTGCTAAAAAAAGATTACTTACCATAAATTCAAATGTACTGAGGCCTTGTGTCTGTATTTGCTAAACTTGGTAACTCTAAATAAGTAAGTTGTTTGGTTGAAATTTACGTGCTAAAGCAACTTACTTTATGTTTCCAAAATCAGTTTTTTTTACTATGCCGCAGTGCAAACCCATTTTTTTAATATATATTTCAGAAGCTCAATAAATACTGAGTGATAGAATTTGAAAAGTTATACCTGATTATGGTGTAGTAGATTTTGAACTGATGTTCCTGCTGGATTCTGTGTTATATCAACATCAAGACAACTCTAGGGGAAAGAAAAATAGCACACAAAATTGGTAATAATTAGTTCCTTTCCAAGAACAGGAATCCTTCAAAAGAGTGTAACTATGTTATTCTAGGATTAAAATCGCCTTCTATTAGATTAGAAGGAAGCTGAATTTTGATGATAGCTAGAAGAATCTAAATACCTTTGTGTTTTATATGACGATTTTTGATAGAAATTTTATTTTCTGAGTAAGAAGTCTTACACTGAATGAACAGTAATTAAATGAATGATAATAGATTTGTTAAAGAAGGCAGGTGAAGGACAAAGATTTAAAAATTCATTTACTAATAAGATATACATTTATATATAATGTAAAGGTATATTTGAATTTTCCACAAATTGATTACTTCATCTCAGAAATAGTAAACTTTAGAAATTATATTCAAAATACATCTAGTTTATAATGCACTTTCTCCATATTAAGCAGGTTAAGGTATTCTTCAAAAGTCTTAGGTAAGATGTTAGATAAATAAATTATCCCTACATTTTAATATTTACCTATAAAGAACAATATAGCATTACCAACACACATCACTAAAGAAAAAAAGACTTTAATAATAATTACACATACCTCATTTAAATTTTTTGGATTATATCCAGTCACCAATGTATATAAATTGTTACAAACTGAATCAAGTATCATACACACATTTCGATGAACAGTATTGAAGTATGTATTTGGTAATAATGTTTTTTTCATCAAACATGGCCTGGAAATGACATATTTCAAAGATAAATCTTAGATAATAAAAATTTTGTTTAGTACAATAGAAAGCAAGAAAGAGAAGAAATAGGAGATATGAAACTAAATTGTACCATATTACTAAATAGTAAAACCATTCAGTTCACTGTGATAATATTCTACACATAATATAAAGAAAGTTGCCCAATAAAATAGCATGTGCAGAAATGTTTTATATCAGTTCAACTTGAATAAACATCTTTTAAAATTTTATTTATAAAAAGAAAATAGATTTCATGTATTTCATAATACAGTTTTAGGAGTATAGTAATTCCCATCAAACCCTACCTCCCCCCTCCCTTATTCCCAACATACTTCCCTCCCTCTCTCATTCCCACCCTCCAACTCTCCTTCCTTATTTTCCCTTTAATTTTTATAATGACAAAACTTCAATTTTCTCTACAATCACAATCTTAACCCTCCACTAAATAAAGAACTCAACAAGTAGTAAGTAGAAAAAACACTGTTCCTCAATGGTATAGCAAGGGTTATAAAAATAATCAAATTTTAAAATGTCAATCTTGCTGGTATACATAACATTTTTTGTCCTGTGCATATTAATTACCACAAATCAAGGAAACCATATGATATGTGCCTTTTTGGGAATGGCTTATTTCATTAAACATGATAGTCTCTTAGGGATGAGAATCCTACTTCAGATATAGAAGCTGAAAAACAAGATATGAAATTTGTGGAGAGAAAGAAAAGAATGAAAGTGAACAAAAAAGTAAAGCAGATAATCACACATGATAATTATTTCATTTGCATGCCATTCTAGAAATGTAAAAATTAATTTTTAGTGATGGGCTGGTGCCACAGCTCACGAGGCTAATCCTACGCCTACAGCGCCGGCACCCCGGGTTCCAGTCCTGCTCGGGGCGCCAGATTCTGTCCCGGTTGCTTCTCTTCCAGTCCAGCTCTCTGCTGTAGCCTGGGAAGGCAGTGGAGGAGGGCCCAAGTGCTTGGGCCCTGCACCTGCATGGGAGAGCAGGAGGAAGCACCTGGCTCCTGGCTTCAGATCAGCGCAGCCAGCCACAGTGGCCATTTGTTAGTAATTCCCATCAAACAGACCCATCCATTTGTGTGTGGGGGGGTGAACCAATGGAAAAGGAAGACCTTTCTCTCTGTCTCTCTTACTCTCACTGTCTAACCCTGCCTGTCAAAAAAAAAAAAAAAAAAAGCAAACTAAATTTTTATTTATATTTACTTATAATATTTATTTATAAAAATATTCCTAATAATCCATAAAGTAGATTAAATTATGAAATAGACTCAATCCAAAACAAGGCAGAAAAATGGGAACAAAGAATAAATCAAACAAATGCAAATTTTAAATTTAATCATAGTAACAATGATATTGAATTTAAGCGATCTAAACACAAAAATTGAAAGATATGGTTAAATTAGGTTTTTTAAATGTCCAACTCTACACTTTCTAATATAAATCCACTTTATATATAAATGATTAAGTGTAAGAATGGATGAGTTATATCATGCTAATTAATGTTAATCAAAAATAACATTAACTGCTATATTAATAACATATTAAATGCTATATTAACCCTAAACATAGTAGATTTTAGAGCAAAGAATTTTAACATTGATAAAGTAGAGTAAGTTCATCAAGAGAACATAAACATCCCTAATGCTTACATAACTAACAAGCTTCAAAAGGCACTGTATAGAGTTGAGGAAAATGGCAATGTGCCCATAATTGTAGTTCATAATTGGTAGACTAAATTTAGATTGCATTTGCTTTAGATCCCAAGTTCTAAGACACCATAGTATGCAGATTTCTCATAAAAAAGTACAAGCCATAGATTGTTCAAGATTGGATAGCAGATAATAAAGAAAGATAGAAACAGAAAGGCCTTTTGTTTTGGCACACTGAAAGATTTCTACCACTCAATGCTAAAATAACCAGTTCCACTTTCACCCTTGTCTTCTTTCTCCCCCCATTTTTTCCCAGAAAGTTGCAAAATTCACATACAGAATAGAAAGCACTAGATGCCAGGTGTATGTATATATCTAAACATCAAATTGCATACATTAACTACATGTATTTTTTTGTATATGAATTATACTTCAACAAAGCTACTGATTCTCTGCCTCTGCCTCTCTGTAATTCTGCCTTTCAAATAAATACATAAATCTTAAAAAAAAAAAAAAGAGGTAGAGCCAAACTTGGTTTTATAACAGACCCATCCTAAGGATACCCATCAACCCACAAATCTATGAATGGATTATCCATTCATAAGTCACAGCTGTCATGACCTAATTACCTCTTAAAGGTCTCACGTGGTTGCACTTGTGTCTCCCTCTTAATATCTCAAGAGGGATTCAATTTCTCTGTGACTTTTCGCGACGGGCATTCAAACCACAGCAAGTGACAAACTAAAAGTCAAAGCCCAAGAAAATACTTAGGAAAAAAAAAAACAGAAAATAGTGTCAACAATATTAAAAACAATCCAAATTAAAGTTATGGGAAGCAAGAATATTCATTTAAACTAAGACATTTATAATTTCAAGTAATACAGATATGGATAATATCTGCTAATACAAAATTAAATTCACAAAGAGGCAGAAATGACACAACTTTAAATTTCTTTCAAATCTCTGTTCCATTTCCTATTGTGGATAAATTTATTTGTATTATTCTTTTCTCTTGTTGATTGTTTTCCCAGAACTTTATATTGTTTGTCTCTTGAATCAAGCAACTTCCAGGTAGACATTCCCATTGAAGTTTCATTTAGATGTGCTCCATTCTCCCAGAAATGGTGTGTAAAAACATGTGCAAAGCATTTTCAGCATGGGAAGTACACCAAGATTGGTGTCCAGGGGTTTATGAAGGTGATTCATAGAGGTACGCTTAGCTGACTGACCTCAGCTACTCAGACTATAGTCCCCAGAGGAAAACAGGTGTTTACTATAAATCACATTGTTTGCATAAACTATCTGATTAAAGTGGTCTACATTGTCCAATTCTGAGGCCTATTCTTATCAAGCAGAATATTCCAAGGACTCAGAGCTCATTAACTAGTAAATGCTAAGGACCAGTTCTAGAAATATTCTCAGAATTGTGCAGAGTTGAGCTACCCAAGTGGCTGAGTTGACTCTTTCCTATACAAATTTGTAGAAATTATTTACGTATTATAAAGTTCATTTATTTTACTTGAGTTACAGCTATTATCTTCTATTTTATATGCTTGGCTTTTAATTGTCTTGATAATTAGAAGTTCTTAATTTTGTTAAAAACTTAACAGATTTATAAAAATGTTCATATTTATGGGGTACTGTGTGATGTTTCATTGATGTATACACTGTGTAAAACACAATCAAAGGCTGGCGCCCGCGGCTCAGTAGGCTAATCCTCTGCCTTGTGGCGCAGGCACACTGGGTTCTAGTCCCGGTCAGGGCGCCGGATTCTGTCCCGGTTGCCCCTCTTCCAGGCCAGCTCTCTGCTGTGGCCCGGGAGTGCAGTGGAGGATGGCCCAAGTGCTTGAGCCCTGCACCCCGTGTGAGACCAGGAGAAGTACCTGGCTGGTGCCTTCAGATAAGTGTGGTGCGTTGGCCGCAGCGCACCGGCCACGGCGGCCATTGGAGGGTGAACCAACGGCAAAGGAAGACCTTTCTCTCTGTGTCTCTCACTGTCCACTCTGCCTGTCAAAAAACAAACAAACAAACAAAAACAAAAAAACACAATCAGGACAAATATCCTTAAAAGCTTTTAACAATTCTTCATAGTGAAAACATCCCAAATCCAATCTTCTAGTTTTTTTTTTTTTTTTTTTTTTTTTTTAAAGAGAAATGTACAGGGGCCAGCGCCATAGCTCACTTGGTTAATCCTCCGCCTGCAGCACCGGCATCCCATGTGGGCACCTGGTTCTAGTCCCATTTGCTCCTTTTCCAGTCCAGCTCTCTGCTGTGGCCCGGGAGGGCAGTGGAGGATGGCCCAAGTGCTTGGGTGCCTGCACCCGCATGGGAGACCAGGAAGAAGCACCTGGCTCCTGGATTTGGATCGGTGCAGCACCGGCCGTGGTGGCCATTGGGGAGTCAATCAACGGAGGGAAGACCTTTCTCTCTTTCTCTCTCTCTCACTGTCTGTAACTCTGTCAAATAAAAAAAAGAGAGAAATGTACAGCAAATTATCCATTGTTGTCCCTGTCATATAGAACCCAAGAATTTTCTTTCTGCTATCTAGCTATAGCCTGAAAAGTCAATCAAACTTTCCCCATTTCTCTCACCACACTTCTCTTCCCAGGTTCTAGTAACTCCCATTATATTTTTAGTTCCTATGAGAATATTTATTTTTAGGTTCCACATCTGAAAAGAGATTGCATTATGTTTGTATTTTTGTGCTTGGCTTATTTCACTTAACATAATGACCTCCAGTTCTTTCCACATTGCTGCAAATGACAAAATTACATTTTTAATGGTCTACCAATATACCATTGTGCATATGTACCACATTTTCTTTATCCATTCATGGGTGGATGTCGCTCCCCCTCTTCGTGGAGGAACGACACAGGACCCTGCGCTGTTCTTTTGTCTACTCGGCCCTCCCCGGGTTTGCTGCTGGTTCTTCCCGGGTTGGCTACCGTCCCTTCCACCTCCGTGGAAGGGCGGTTCCCCCTGCCACTTTCCCCACTTCCGCGGGGGAGCGGCACACCGCCGGCCGGCTCTCTCGGGGGCTGCACAGGTGTTCCCTTTAGATGTTTCTGGTGCATGTTGTCTCTCTCCTCCTTTATAGTCCTCTTCCACCAATCCCAACTCTGCTACCCACACGCCGAGTATGCTGCTCTCCTCCAATCAGGAGCAGAATCAGCTCCTGCAGGTCATCACTCAAGTTGGTGAGAGGCAGCTGCGTAGAAGCTGTTTACTCCTCTCCCCAGCGCCATATTGTGGGAGAGCAGATGCATAGAATAAGTCTTAATTCGAGTAACAGTCTAGTCCGAGTTGCTCCCCACAGGTGGATATGAAATAGACATTTAAGTTGTTCCCATTTCTTGGTTATTGTGAACAGTACTGCAATAAATATATGAATACAGATATCTCTTTTTGACAGATGGATTTCTTTTCCTTTGGAGATGGATGTGTGTGTGTGTGTGTGTGTGTGTGTATATACATATATATATATAGAGAGAGAGAGAGAGAGAGAGAGAGAGAAAGCTAGATGTTGAAGCCAGCGCCGCGGCTCACTAGGCTAATCCTCCGCCTTGCAGCGCCAGCACACCAGGTTCTAGTCCCGGTCAGGGCGCCGGATTCTGTCCCGGTTGCCCTTCTGCCAGGCCAGCTCTCTGCTGTGGCCAGGGAAGTGCAGTGGAGGATGGCCCAAGTACTTGGGCCCTGCACCCCATGGGAGACCAGGAGAAGTACCTGGCTCCTGCAATCGGATCAGCGCGGTGCACTGGCTGCAGCGCGCTGGCCACGGCGGCCATTGGAGGGTGAACCAACGGCAAAGGAAGACCTTTCTCTCTGTCTGTGTCTCTCACTGTCCCCTCTGCCTGTCAAAAAAAAAAAAAAAAAAAAAAAGCAGCTAGATGTTGAAATATACATCCAGTAGTGGGATGTTGAATCATATGGTAGTTCTATTTTTAGGGTTTTAAGGGACCTCTATACAGTTTTCCACAATAGCTGTATTAATTTATATTCTTATCAACACTGTGCAAGGGGTCTCTTTTCTCCACATCCTTACCAAAACTTATCTTGTCTTTTTGAAAATAGTTACTTACTGAAGTGAGATGATATCTTATTGTTGTTTTGATTTGCATTTTACTGAGATTAGTGATACTGAGCATATTTTAATTTACCTGTTGTTCATTCATGTGTCTTCCTTTGAGAAACAGCTATTTAGCTCTATTTTCATTTTAAAATTTTATATTATTTTTGCTATGTTTGAGTTTCTTATAACATAGGTTGCATTGATCAACAATATCCTTTCATCCCAAATTTTGGGTCTCTTCCAATCTTCCAGTACTATCTTAAAAATATCCACAGTTCTCTGGTGTATAGGAAGCTCCTGGATTTTTCATGCACTAACCTACATTGCATACCTGGCAAAGCTACCTTCAGGTCTATTTATCTGCGAATATACCTCAACCATTGCTACTCTAATCACACACTAGGCTTGAAAGGCAACTTTAGTTTCTATAGGCTGTACCCTCTAGGAAGTGAAGCATGATCTCTGTGTAATTTCAATGATACCCTATCTTCTGAAATTTGGCCTAAAGTGATCACAAGGCCCTAGTATTATATTCACATTCATGCTCTTTCTCTTCTCCCCAAACTCCTTTACATAGCTCAGAAAATATTTTATCTCTTCAGTGTTGAAGAAAATGAACTTTCCTATCATCAAGTATTCCTCTAAAGTCTTTCTGTAATGATTTAATGAAGCTCACATTGTTTTGAAATAAAAATTGATCTTAAAAAGTCCTTTTTTGCAATGGGAAACATTTATGATTATTGTTTCTCATATTAGTTGTTTAAATGCTGTATTTAGAAGAAACTCAGAAGACTTAGTTGTAATGATTTATAATCCATCAATATCCCTGAGATGATAAATGCCACTGCTTTAATGGCTGAAGGGCCAATGGGCAATGAGAAAATAGCAAAAAAAAATTACGAACTATATTTAAATAAGTGAAAAAATACATACTAAAAAAAGTAACTGAATTTTAATAGGAGTGATATAGATCCTCAAACTCAAAGTACCACAGTCCATTATAGGTTGACTTGGATAATATCAATGATTTCACGGTAAACTTGATCATAGGCATCCATCCCAAACAAAAAGTCTATATGATTATAGTAAGAAATAGTTTTATGGTAAAAGTGGTTTTTAATTTCTGAACGTAAAGTTTCAACATCTTCTGGATCAGCCAACAAGTCACGTTCACCGTTCCACGTGGCAGTTGGCACTTCCATATTTGTCACATCGTAGGATGGAGAAGTTGTCTAGAAATAAAGCAGGGAAAAAAGTTTTCACAGGAAATGATACCTTAGAAGTTTACATTTATTAATTTTGTAAATGATTAATTAAAACATTGTTTTAACATAAGTTGGATATAGTGAATTCAACTTAATGGAGTCATGAAAGCAATGAATATGAAAGAATTGGTATTACTAGTTGGTTAGGAATAAATCATACATAAATCAAAAGTAGGCAATTTGTTCTAATTTCAAGTACTCAAATATTTCATGGAAGTAATTCAAATATTAGTTTTAAATCCTGAAATTAGTTTAATCAAATTTTCTGTGACTATAGTATTATCAGTATGTTTATCAAAAATTATACATATTGGCAGTCATTCTCAACTCTGATCTCATTGAAATTGATCTTCAAATTTTACTTCAGAATTATATATGAGCAAACCACATCTGGAATGAAGATGAGCTGAGGCAGAAAACTGTGGAAAAGCATAAACTTTGAAGTCAGACAGAGTTGAGCACAGTTTTGTCACATTCTTATTAATTTCCAAGTTTTTACTAATTATATATGCCTTTGTCTAATCTTCCCAAATAAACTACTTTTAGGGTCAAAAATACATTATGCTTTTTATTTCATATTTAATCAAGTATATAACCATGAGTATCACAAAGACAATACTTTTCCTCTTGAGGGATCATAAATTCTTCTATTGCTTGTCAACATCTTTAGGCTTATCTAGGGTATTTGTTGTTAAAATATGTGAAAACATAGAAAAGCTACTTTGGTTGAATGTGATACTATAGAACCAAAACAGAATGATATTCATCTGTTGGTCCTTCTAACTGTGTTATTGTACCCTAGGGATTTAGAGATGATCTTGGGATCTACAGTAAGATCATCTGAACTGGTAAAGAAGGCTTATCCACAATTATGTACCTGATTAAAATGAACCAAGTTCAGATCAGGGCTTCCCCAGTCAAAGGCTTTCAAGTTCGTAGAATATAAAAGCTGAAAGGAAAATAAAAATAGGATCATATTACTTTGTTCATTATAGTGGAAGCTAATGCATGTCACATGTACATTACACCTATTGCTCTCTGCTAGTATTTATGAAAGGGAGCTTCTTTGTTCCTGTTTTCTTTTGGATAGGATAAGAAATAGGATAGGGCCCAGCGCTGTGGCATACTGGGTAAAGCCACCGCCTGCAGGGCCAGCATTCCATATGGGTGCCTGTTCGAGAACTGGCAGCTCCACATCTTATCCAATTCTCTGCTGTGGCCTGGGAACAGTGGAAGATGGCCCAAGTGCTTGGCCCCTGCACCTGCGTGGGAGACCAGGAAGAAGTTCCTGGCTCCTGGCTTCGGATCGGCGCAGCTCCAGCCATTGTGGGCAACTAGGGACTGAACCAGTGGATGGAGGATGTCTCTTTCTCTGTCTTTCCTTCTCTCTCTGTGTAACTCTTTCAAATAAATAAATAAATCTTAAAAAAAGAAAGAAATATCGGGGCATGGAATGGCATGAGAGACAGCTGGGGAATCTCAAGAATATGATTCTATCATTCTCATATAAAACCCGATATTCCCAAGATATTTTACAACCCTAAGGGGACCCTGCGTTTGGGGTAACATCAGACTTCTTACAAAAATCCCTTTTCATCAGCAGAGGTCAAGAGCAAATGTCTTGCACTGGGACTAAGATAACATGTCCCTAAAGAACCCTGTCTCAACAACAGGGCTCAAGAGGCCAAGAAGTGATCTGTTGCTTCAACCCTTAAAACCCCAGCCTTATCACTACTATCTACTTTGAATTTATTAAATCTAACCTGATTTTTTTCCTCCCAACCCCCCAATTATGTTTTCATCACAAGGTCAAATTCTCAGGTCGGCCATCTTCGGTATTCCAAGCTTTATTAAGGTGTCACGCAGTCCCTATCCTCAACGTTTTCAACTCTACTCAACTCGTAAAACTCTCTACTGTCTGGAATTTGATTATCAGCCATATATCTTAAAACTCTTCCTTTGATGACATTTTAATTTCTTACTCTAATTGAAAATATGGTTGCAAATCCCCTCTACCTCTTTCAAGTGGCACTACCATTTTTCTCCTATCTACCGGGTATCTTTGAGAGTTGGGTTAGTCTTTTTTTCATTATACCTGCTTCCAGAAAACTCTCACTTCCTCCTCCCCAAGAAGTTATCCAACTCTGAATTTCTCACGTCCTTCAATTACATCTCCCACTACACTTTGCTGTTGCTGTCATCTCTTAAACTCCCGTTTAGTTCCTGCTTGCTTCTAAGTTCCTTGAGTTCCTCTTCATTGATCTTCTCCTCCAACCTGAATCAAACGTTCATACTATAATAAACCTTTGGATTACTATGATCCTTTCAAAATCCTATTTTTCTTAATCTATTTTTAACATTATCTGCAAATGTTCTCTAGTATACCAAACAAAAAATCCTGCAACTCTAAGATCTTGAATCCATACATCCTCCCATCTTTTTATTATACCTTATTCCCTCAATGTCCTTTATCTTCTGCTTACCCAGATAAAAATCTCACAGTCATTAAAAGTATTCACTTAAATTTATTTAACACTTTTCCACTTCTATTATATTGTCCAACTTGTTTCCAAAAACACTCTAGAAACATCCAATTCTCTACAAACTACATGCCTACAGTAATGAGACTAAAAAAAACAGGGGAAAAACTCAAAACTATGCAAACGTAATTCACGTTAAATTTACTGTTGCAAATCTCTTGTGGGACATTACTTTTGCCCTACAATCATGTCACAATTCCCTCATCAATTTCTTCTCCCACTCTTCTAGGCAATTACTTCATAGTTCCTTTTCTCTACAGCATTCTCTTTTCTCCTATTCCTACTGTTTGTATTGAAACTTGTTTCCTATTTCAACAAAAAGGCTGAAGAAATCATAAAAGATCTTACGTTAGAGATTTAGATTACATGAATTTGCTTATTAGTAATATTCTTTTCTATCTGTTAACTAAATGCTTTTTTTTCTTGTTTACTGGATTCTATCTATCCTATCACTCTATGCATTTTTCTATTGTTTCATAAAATTTCTCCTCTCTATAGGTCATGATTCTACTGCTTTCTTTGAGAGATAGGTCAGTGACAGATAGATGGATATAGACATATATAAATAATATCAAACTCCCTGTGTCTTGCCAGAACTCTTGAACAACATCTTTATTCTCTTTGTAGCAAAATTCCACAGGAAAGTCCCCACCATCTCCAATTCCTCTCACAGTAGTCTTTCAATTATAGTAAAATACACATACAATTTACCATTTAACCATTTAAAGTCTACAATTCAATGACATTTGTTTACAACACTGTGCATCTATCATCACCTAAATTCATTCTAGTTTGTCTTATATCTCCATCTGAAGATATGCTTCTAGCCAATTATTTAGAGATGTCTCCCCAGCTCTGAATAAAAAGGCATTACATTAGTAGGTTAAAATCAACGATGGTAGAAAAATTTCCATCACAGAAATAAGCAATTACTACGACAGAAACAGGCAAGTGCTTTTTCTCTCCAAAGATAACTTTTTCTCTCACAAAGAGAACCAATTATTAAACATAGTTACTGACACACTTCTATCAAAACCTTGACACTGATTGTTGTCTTTAGTCCTTGTTTATACTCCTGTGGAACTGTGGTCTTTCTACTTTTTACTTGTTGAATATTATGGTTAACAGTGCATTAAGCCTGTGATTATGGAGTAGATTGAAATTATATTTTTGTAAACATTAAAGAAAAAATAAAGGAAGGAAATACGAGGATTGAGGGGGGATGAGAAAAAGAGAGGGAAATATGGACATTTTCTTAGAATTGCATATATGAAATACTTGAAGTATATTTTCTTTATACTAATAAAAAATTAAATTTTAAAATTTTGACTAATGCTAAGGAATCTATCAATGACTTGACACAATTGTTCATTCCCTCATTCTTGAGAGCTTTTCTTCACTTAGCTTCTAGAATACCTTAATTTCTTGATCTTCATTTTTCACTTAATGCTCCCTTTCAGTTAACTTGGTCAATTTAGCTTCTGCTACTTGACCTCCTAATTTTTCATGCCTTAGCATTAACTTTTTGCTCATCCTCTCCTATCTATCTATCCTCACTCGATTTGTATACTCCCCTAGTCTCTTGGTTTTATGTGTTACTTAATATTCAAAATATTTACCTTCTTTTGTAAGTCTGTACTAAATTATAGGCTCTAATTTCAGACAAAAATGTTACTTAAATTCATCTCTTAGATGTCTAAAACATAACATCTCCAAAACAGAACATTTTATCTGTCCTCCAAAATTATCAAATTTCCCTATGTTCTTTAATGGAATTTCATCTTTTCATTGCTTAGATAAATAACTTTAGTATCATCTAAAACTCCTCTTCTCTCTCTCATCTTGCATAGAATCCATCACTGAATTTTGTTGTTTCCATATTCAGGATATACACATGCACATTCAGAACCAGCACTGTTACCACCTCTAACGCTAACAGAACAGTCTATGTCACAATTATTTATTGTTTGAATTACTGCGATAATTTCCTAAATCACTGTTTCCACCTTGTCCCACTACATTCTATTCAATACAGCAGGCAAAGTGTTCCATTAAAAGTACAAATCATATAATGTTACTTCCCTGATCAAAAACTTGCAGTGTATACTCACTTCAGTCAGATTGAATACCAAAGTTCTAATAATGGACCATTGATGCCTTTCATTATTTTTTTTCTGCTTCCTTTGCTCCATTTTCCAACCAAATTCCCTTTTTTTAAAATTTTGATATGAAGGAGTGACAGGGAGAGGAGAGGGAGGAGAAGCACACAGGGTGTTGTGATGGGGAGGGAGGGAGGGAGAGAGAGAGAGAGAGAGAGAGAGAGAGAGAGAGAGAAACTTCCATCTACTGGTTCACTCTCAAAACAGCTGCATGGCTACGGCAGGACCAAGCCCAGTCAGGAGCCTGGAACTCCATTCAAGTCTCAGGCATGGATGGCAGGCGCCCAAGTTCTTGGGTCATCTTCCACTGCTCTCCCAGGCATATTAGCATGGAGCTGGATCAGAAGTTGAGCAGCCAGGAATCAAAGTGGTGCTCATATGAGATACCTGCATTGAATGTGGAGGCGTAACCTGCTGCCCTACAAGGCCAGCCCCACTCATTTCTCTCTTACCTACATCAGCAACATTTACTTTGGTGTCTCTAAGAAAATCCCCTGAATAATAGAAACCCCAGAAATTAACCTATGTGTCTATAACTAGCTAGTTTTCAACAAATGAGCTAAATTCATTCCCTGGAGAAAAAGACAGGCTCTTCAATAGATGATATTGTATTTCCACATGCAGAAGTTTGAAATAAGCCTCCTATCTTATACCCTATACAAAAAAAATCAACTCAAAATGGATCAAGAACCTAAACTTAAGACCTAAAATCATAAAATTACTAGAGGAAAACATAGGGAAAATGCAGTAAGACATGGGTCTAGGTGAAGACTTCTTGGGTAAGACCCTAAAAGCAAAAAAAAAAAAAAAAAACACAGAAAATGTGATTACATTAAGCTACAAAGCTTGTGTACAACAATGGAAACAATTAACAAAGTGAAGTGACAATAAACAGAATGGGAGAAAATATTTGCAAACTATGCATCCAATAAAGGATTAATATCCAGAATATACAAGGAGCTGAAGAAACTCAACAACAACAAAACAAACAATCCAGTTAAGAAATGGAAAAAAGACATAAACAAACATTTTTCCAAACGATGAAAGACAAGTGGCCAACAGACACATGAAAAAAATACCCATTTTTAAAGAAATTCAAATATAAACCACAATAACATTATCACCTCACTTAAGTTATAATGATTACTATCCCAAAATCAAAAAATAACAAATGCTTGCGAGGATATGGAGAAAAGTGTTCCCTAATACATTGTTGATGTGAATGCAAATTAAAACAAGCATTATGTAAAACAGTATGGAGATTCCTTCAAAAATTATAGATGATAATTCATAAAATGCAATTATCCTACTCCCGGGAATATATTTCAGAAGTAGTAAAATCAGCATATGAAAAAATTACCTGCATTCCATGTTTATAGCAACTCAGTTCACTATAGCACACATATGGTATCAACCTAGATGTCCATCAGGATAAAGAAAATGTGGCATATATAACAGGATGGAAGATTATTCAGACATAAAAAAAGAATGAACCTGACTTTCAAAACAAATTGGATGAAACTGGAGATCATTATGCTATGTTAAATACGCCAAACTCAGAAAGAAAAATATCACAGCTTATTTGTAGAAGTTAATATATAGAGGGTATAAAATGTGGATGTCCTATATTTGAACCACAGTTATAAGTATTATTTACTGGATCATACTATGTGTATGACCATATACCCTCCTTTCCCACATGATGATTATCATGAATCTTTCACTTTGTGATGTTCATATCTCCTTTTCAGGAAAACATAATTCATCTGATGTGAATGTATGCAACAAAATGTTAAAAACTGTTAAATTTTAAAGCAAAAAAACCTAAATTCATAAACTTATTTTAACATAAGAAGTCTCCTGTATAAGGTTTTCGCTTCGCTATTCTGTTTGGACTGCTCACTCCCAACACTGTGGTCTAAATGTTTGTATTTCCCTGAAACACAAATGCTGAAATCTTAACCCAAAGGTAATGGTGTTAGAAGGTAGGGTCTTTTAAGAGGTAATGAGATAAGAGAGTGTAGCACTTATAAATAGGCTTTGTGACCTTTTAAAATAGATCCAAGGAAACTCTTGTTCCTTTCATCATGTGAGGGCACATCTAACAGTTGCCACTGCTGAATCAAAACATAGGCTCTCACCAGACATTGAATATCCTGGGGCCTTGATTTTGTATGATTCTGTATGATTTACAGTGTACAGAACTGTAAGAAAAAAACTGTATGCTAGCAAAGTATGGTATTCTGTTCGAGCAGCCTGAATGGATTGAGGAAGCAAAAGTACACACTGCTAAGTTCCTTAGCACCTACCTCCTTCAGACCTTTTCTCAAATATCACCATCTCCCCAAGGTCTAAACAAACCCATGTATTCAAAAAATAACAATCTTGGGGCTGGCACTGTGGTATAGCAGGTAAAGCCAGCACCTGCAGTGCCAGCATTCCATATGGGCACTTGTTCAAGTCCAGGCTGCTCCACTTCTGATCCAGCTCCCTGCTAATGTGCTTGGGAGACCCGGAAGAAGCTCCCATGTGGAGATCTAGAAGAAGCTTCAAGCTTCTGGCTTTGGATTGGCCCAGCTCCAGCCATTTTGGCCATTTGGTGAGTGAATCAGCAGATGGAATACCCCCTTTCTCTCTCTCTCTCCCCCTCCTTCCCTCTCTCTCTCTCTCTCTCCCGGCCCCCTCTCTCCCTCCCTCCTTTCCTCCTTCCCTCCCTCCCTGCCTCTGCCTCTCTGTAACTGTGCCTTTCAAATAAACAAATAAATCTTAAAAAAAAAAACCTATACTTCTCAGCCTTCTTAATCCCTTTTTTATACTTTATCCTCACTCCATTTTCACAGAGCTTCTTTGCCTTATGGAATTTTTAATAATTTATTTATTGCTATGTTTATTATTTATCCTTTGTATATCTACTAGTAGGATGTAAGCATAGAGAATACAGGGTCTTTCTCTTGTTCACAGTATATCTCATAAGGATAAACCAGTGCAGAACACAAGGAAGGTACTGAATAAATATTGCCACAATTGATGAATAAATACAAAGGCTGCTCCAATTTTCCTGGATTTGCCATCACCAGAGATAAACTAAACCTAAAGATAAGCTATGATAAAGATTTTAATAATATGTAACAAAATAATCACTTTACAAATTTAAACACTTTATAAATGAGAAAGCTTTATCCAACAATACTTCAAATTTATCTAGGGTTTATTAACTTCAAAGAACATTCATAAACATCACACTGTTTAATTCTCAAATATTTTTGTTAGTTATGTAGGAGAATTATTATTAATTCCATTTAAAAATTGAGGAAACTGATTCAGAAAGGTTAAGTGAGCTGTTCAACGCCACAATTCCAATAAGGTTCAAAGAAAGAATTTATTATTTGGTCTTTTGATTTAAGCAAAGTGCTCTTTCTACTCTGTTATCCAGGCTTTCAACATTAAGATAACTTTCACACTAAATTTTTCTTTTTATCAATATCATTCATTGAACAAATATTAGTTGAGTATCTACAATATGCCAACAATTGTTGGCCTTAGAAATACAAACATTAATATGGTTCTCCAGGAATGAACAATTTAACAAAGAAAGTGTATAGCCTAGAGACATTTCTTAATCTTTTGCTTTTCTCTCAAGGGTTTCAACTAGGCATCAGGAAAACTGTGTCCTAGTATTTTTTTTTAAAGGAAAAGCTTAGAAACTTTGGGCAAGCCAAGTGGAGAGCATGGATTATGTGAACCCTATTCTAACATATCCTCTTTTGTGAAACAGATATTTATATTTCTCTAATCATTGCTTAGTGTTAGAGGTTTGAATAGATTATGACATTAATACATTTTCTAAACTATAGAGAATTATGCAAATAAACAATAATTTCAGTTTATCCTCCCAAATTTACTATTCTATGGCAATTACATCATCCAGAGAATGATGAGGTGAACCATGAGTAGTGTAAATTAAATTGTATTGTAATGTACTTTAACAGATATACCTGACTCCAGTGGACCATGTTTTGAACAGATGTTCCTGCAGGGTTCTGTGAAAAATACACATCCAAACGACTCTGAGGAGTTTTAAAAAAGCATTTTATACTTAGTTCAATAAGAGAAAACATAATCTTTGATATTTAATGAAGGAAATTATTTCAAGGAAATTTACAATTAATTTTAATATTAAAACAAATATATTAATTAAACACATACGTATATTTATTAAATTAAAAAATTTACATTAAATTAAACAAACTTTCCATTAATGTTGAAGCTGTGATTAGATTTCTAAGTTATTTGGTCCATCATCTTCCTTCCTAACAAGACACTGTAATTGATTAACAACACACACACATACATATGTACACACATACACAACCACTCAAATACACATTTGTCAAACACAGCATTTGTCAAACACAACATTAAATATATGGCAAGTCAGAAAGATATTAGCAGGAAAAACAGAACAGAAAAACAAAAACTCTAAAATATAAAGGAAGTACTAAATCTACTTTGTCCTTAAGGTTATTAGCCAATCCCAGAGAATTCAAATTTTCATTTTGATAGCTTCATAAGATGAGAAAAACAAAAATCAAAGCTCAGGACGTGACAAAGTTTGTATCCTTAAAAAGGAAAAACTTTCCATGATAAACTTGGGTCCCAAAATTTATAGTAAGCATAGAAAGCTGAGGCAGAAGTATAAGAACTCTCATGTCAACCTGTAATTTAAAATTGTATTGCCTAGTTAGTCCCTAAGAACCTCAATCGGTGAACCACACACATCAGTGAACTCAGGTACCTTGGAAAAGCAAATATTCATATCCAGAAGAAATAGAAAAGGCATGTCTATTTATTCAATTTATTAGTAAAAATATTTTTTTCAGAATCAATAAACCCCACACGATCAAAGAAAAGCAAGTACATAAGACTATGTACCAAATAAGAACCATCAAAAAAGAAAAAAATTATAAAACAAACATTTTAGATGCTAATAGATGTATAGTATAAAATAACTATATAAGTTTATGAAAATTGAAAGGCAATCACCATGGGCTATAACATGGAGAGAAGAACATAAGAACAGAACCTTACATTCATCCCAACATTCACCTTAAGGGCATTTTTCAAAGTAGTGCAGAAATGGCACTAAAGTAAAGCAGAAAATGGCAGTCTTTTCAAGTAATTGCTAAGATGTAACAAAGAACATTTCTTGAAAAAGTCACAGAAGTTAAAAGGGAAGATAAAATGGAATTATTAAAAAATATTTCAGAGTGGGCATCTGGCATAGCAGTCAAGAAACTATTTGGGATGTCTGAATTCCATGCTAGAGTGCCTTGGTTCCAGTTCTGACTCCACTCGTGATACAAGCTTCCAGCTGATTTATACTCTGGGAGGCAGCAGAAGACAGCTTAAGTAGATGAGTCCCTATCACTAATGTCAGATACCTGGATAGAGTTCTAGGCTCCTGGCTCTGGCCTGGTGCAGACCTGGTTATTGTGAGCATTTAGGGGGAATAAATAAGCTTTCTCTCTGTCTCTCTCTCTCTGTCTCTCTAACCTTTCAAATAAATAAAATATAATTTAAAAACAATTAAAACATATTTCATTAACACAAAAGAAAAAGTAAGAAATAATAAGAAAACTACATGGAGCAAATAAAAAGCAGATAGAGAAATGGCAATCATAAATATAATCATAGTAGAAAATATATAAAATAAATTTACTAAATATTCCAATTAAAAGAAAAATTATCATAATAGATAAAAATACTATGACCACAATATCTGAAGGCTTAAAAAACAAACTTTAAAATATTTACAAGGAACAAAACCAAAAAACTTGTAAATATTGATCCATCAGATTGAAAAAATTAAAACTACAAATAAAAACAAAATAATGAAAAGTTTAAGTCTTCATGAATGTATACATATCAGAAACAAATGAAGAGAAAATGATTGAGGTCAGAAAAAAATCACTCAGCTAATTGTCTCAAACAACTCAACAGGAAGTAAACAACCCATTACAAAGTGTCCAAAAGATTTTAAATAGACATTTCTCAAAAGAAGACATCCATATGGCCAACAAATACAAATAAGTGTTCAACATCACTAGTAACTAGGCAAATTCAAATTAAAACCACAGTGAGATACTATCTCACACCAATGGAAATAATAATCATCAAAAAGATGAAACATAGAAATGTGAGTGACGATGTGGAGAAAAGGGAATCCTTTCAATGCTGTTGATAGGAATGTAAATTGGTAGTCATCATGGCACTAGGGAAATTCCTCAAAAAATGAAAAAATGAAACTAGCATATGATCCAGGATTTCCACTACTGAATATATGTCCAAGGAAAATGAAATCTGTCTTTCAAGATAGCTGCACTCCCATGATCATTGTAGCATTATTCACAATAGCCAAGACCTAGAATGAACCCAACCATTCATGAACATACATGAATAAAAAATGCGGTATAAATCTGTGTATACAAGTACAATTGGAGGTTACTGAGCAATAGAAAGGAAGCAAGTCTTCATTTAACAGTATGGATGAACTTGGAAGGCATTATAGTAAAGGAAATACGTTGAATCTAGAAAGATAAAATAGCATAGGATCACTTACATGTGGAATCTGAAAAAAAAAAAACAAAAATAACAAAGGTGAAATCATAAAAACAGAATAGAATGGTGGTTGCCTGGCTAAGTGGTAGAAGTGAGGAGATGGCAAAGGTTACAAACTCTAAGTCAAAGGGGTGGGTAAGTTTTGAGGGTCTAATGTATGGTGACCATAGTTAATAATAGTATTTTGGGATCTGAGTTGTAGTGCAGCAGGTTAAGCCTCCACTTGCATCATGGGCATCATGGGAAGGCAGTGGAAGATCACTCTAGCACTTGGGCCTCTGCCACCCACCTGTGAGACCAGATGGCTCCTGGCTTCTGTCTGGTCAAGACCTGGCTGTTGTGCCCATATGGGGAGTGACCCACCAAATATAAGATCTTTCTGTCTTTCCCTCTCTCTCTGACATTCTGCTTGTAAATATTTCAAATATACTATCTTGTATTCTTGAAATTTGCTAAAAGAATATATCTGAAGCATGCTCACACACACACAAAAAGGGTAACTATGTGAGCTGATATGTATGATTGTGGCATTCATTTCACAATGCATATGTATGTTAAATCATTATGCTGTACATTTCAAAACCATATAATTTTATATTTACTTCTGTTTCAAATTTATCAGAAAAGTAAGAATCCATTCCTTTAAAGGAATCCAAATCATAGCAACATTCCTTTGCTTACTGTACTCATAGTCTGAGTCTCATTTATCTTTGTGATATTAAGTTTTATGTAAACCATCATCAAAGAATCATAACAACTGAGTAAAGCAAAACATCTGGGTTGTTTCATGATCTATTTTTCAAGTGATATTGTGAGAATTTTTACTGCCTGTGTCCTTTGTATCATGACTTAACTTTTAATTTATTCTTTGTTGTTTTCTGATGCCTAAGGGATATTTGTCTGAATTCATTCATTGCGTTTTTACAAACTACAAATTCTCTTTTTGTTTTAAAAGTGGCTTCTGGAAAGAAGTTCCAAGACAGACCCTACTTTCTCCATATATTTGACAGACTCAAGATGATCTATTCAAGATTAACTATACTGTTACTCTTACTGTTCCCAAAAACTCTATGTAGCAAAGTTTTCCACTTTTAACTTTCTAACAAAAGTTGTAATACGATATAACCATATTACAACCTACAGCACTATCAAGTTCAGTCCCCAAAGGGAGGCCCACAAATTTGAAGGCTAGAAAGTCAGATTATAAGCATTTCTAGCAATGCACAGAGAAGGAGTTCTCAGAGACACCACCACCAAATTACAAAGAATTATAGCATTGGCCAAATGCACTATCCAAAATACAGAATGAATAGATAAGGTAAGCAAAAATAAAGATTATGTTTATGATTCTTTCAAGCAATTCATACTGTCTAACACTAAATGGAAAGAAAAATGTGAAAAAGAGGTGTATGAAAATAGTTCTTTATATACTATCAAATGACCCAACATATGGGTCCTAGGAGTTCCTGAAGGCATGGAAAGAGAGAATGGATTAGAAGGCCTTTTTAGTGAAATAATTATAGGAAATGTCTCTAATTTGGAGAAGAAAGGAATATCCAAGTATAGGAAGCACATAGGACTCCTAATAGACATGACCAGAAAAAATTTTCACCATGACACATTGTAGTTAAACTTTCCACAGTAAAACATAAAGAAAGGATTTGAAAATGTGCATGAGAGATATGCCAGATTACTTTCAGAGGATCTCCAATCAGACTCGCAGCTGACTTCCCATCAGAAACCCTGAAGGCTAGGAGAGAATGACGAGATATATTCCAAGTCTTAAGAGAAAAAAAAAACAGTCGATCCAGAATACTATACTCTGCAAAACTCTCATTTATGAATGAAGGTGAAATTAAAGACCTTCCATAACAAACAGAAATTGAAAGAATTTGTCACCATTCATCCAGCCTTATAAAAGATGCTTAAGGATAAAACAGAAACACAGAAACATGTTCATTGCTATGAAAGAAAGGCAGAAAATCTCCTAGTAAAAGTACGAAAAAAATCCAAGGTAAAAAAATAGGAATATTTATGGAAAAATGGTAGGGCCAAGTCATTACTTATCGATAGTCACCTTGAATGTGAATGGCTTCAACTCCCCAGTTAAAAGAGACAGACTGGCTGAATGGATTAAAAACAAAACCTATCTATTTACTGCCTAAAAGAAATATATCTCACCAACAGAGATATATGACCACTGAAAGTGAAAGGATGGAAAGAGATATTCCATGCTAACAGAAACCAAAAAAGAGCTGGTGTAACCATCCTCATATCAGACAAAATAGATTTTAACACAGACTATTAAAAGAGACAAAGAAGGGTACTATGTAATTATTAAGAGATCAGTTCAACAGGAAGATGTGACTATAATTAATAAACATATATGCACCTAATTATAGGGCAATCTACATAAGTGAAAGTGACACTTTTGAGATTTGATGACTTTGAACAGCCCTTGTCTCCACTGCTGAGGAGCAGTTTTTTTTTTTTTTATACTATTTTTTGAACTCTTTACTTAGTATGGAGTTAATCTTATGTGCATAAAGTTAGTTGAAAATAGATCTTAGTAAAAAATAAGAAATAGAATAGGAGAGAGAGGAGGAAGAAGGCTGAGAATATGGGTTGCAGTGCAGGTATGTGGGAAGAAGCACTATGTTCCTAAAGTTATACTTATGAAATGCATGAAATTTGTATACCTTAAATAAAAGATTTCTGGGGAAAATAAGAAAGTAGTCCTTTTTGCCTTCTATAGCAAGAGGCACAATGCTCATGTCTTTATGGACAAATAAGGTGAGCATTGAGTTCATTTCTCATATTGTAAAAAATTCTATAATATTTATGTAATTGCCTTTATAGCCCTCTGACAACTAAGTAAGGTCATGAACTTGAATAAAATTAACATGTCCTTGCAACATAAAAAAGTGCTTGAGAATTAGGAGAATGTATTCTTTATGGAATGTTTAAACTGGTTGCCACTGAAAGTTCTTTTTAATTATTATTTATATAAAGAGAACAGATTTCATATATTTCATACATACAATTCTGAGAAGTTCTTAAAAGGCCCATGTTCAAGAACTCATCAGCAGCACAAATGCACAATTGCTTCTGTTAAATCTACAGTTTAAATTTAATGTCATGAAAACATATTAAATGAATACCTACATCTTTTTTTTTTTTTTTTGACAGGCAGAGTGGACAGTGAGAGACACAGACAGAGAGAAAGGTCTTCCTTTGCCGTTGGTTCACCCTCCAATGGCCGCCGCGGCCGGTGCACCGTGCTGATCCGATGGCAGGAGCCAGGTACTTATCCTGGTCTCCCATGAGGTGCAGGGCCCAAGCACTTGGGCCATCCTCCACAGCACTCCCTGGCCACAGCAGAGAGCTGGCCTGGAAGAGGGGCAACCAGGACAGAATCCAGTGCCCTGACTGGGACTAGAACCCGGTGTGCCAGCGCCGCAGGCAAAGGATTAGCCTAGTGAGCCGTGGCACTGGCCACCTACATCTTTTTTAAGTAAATGTTTTTAGTGACAGAGTGGGGGGAGGGAGGGAGAGAGGGAGGGATAGATAGATAGCTCTCTCTCTCTCTGTGTATATATATATATATGTATATATATGTACATATATATATTCCATGCTAACAGAAACCAAAAAGGAGCTGGTGTAACCATTCTAATATCAGACATATACATATATACGCATATGATGTATACACATATGTATATATACATATATGATATACACATCACATATATGATATATGTATATGAATATACATGTATGTCTGATACATACACATATATGTATGTGCATATATGTGTGTATGTATTGTATGTGTGTGTATATATATATACACACAGAGAGAGGGAGAGAGAGAGAGATCTTCTATTCACTGGTTCACTCCCCAAATGGCCATGATGCTAGGAGCTGGGACAAGTTAAAGCCAAGAGCCAGGAACTCCACCTGAGTCTCCCAAATGGGTGGCAGGGGTCCAAGAATTTGGGAATGCCTACATCTCTAAGAGAATGTACACAGTCAATCCAAAATGTCTTCTAATAGTATGAGCACAACCATTTTCCACTTCAAGAGGACTGATGAGTGCTAGATGCTTAAACATAATCGGAGACACTTATTCTATTTATGAAGGATCAACAAAGAAAGGAAGGAGTGTTAGGACTCAGGGTATAGGAGGAGTTATGGTACACAAGTGAACAGAAGACCTAAATATAAGGAATCTCAGGAACCTAGTACCCAATAGAAAAAGCTAATAAAGACACCCATCACAGAATATGCACTCTAGTCTTTACAAAAGCAAAACGCATATGGAAGTGAAATAATCCTAGCATGTTAATGCAAATTAGATGTACAAATTAGTCATAAAATCAAATAGGCTTAGATTCTAACTACTATATGTGGATAGATCACACAATGACACAGAAAGCATAATGTAAGCACTAGTAAGAGATACATTCCAAAGACTAGCAAAAGTTCATTTTGAATACAACTTGTTCTCACCATATTTAAGTTCTCCTGGTCATATCCATATATCATAAACAAGTTACCAACACAAATCTTATTAAAAATCGGTAGTGGACACAGCTTTGAACCAACAAATTTGTTAAATGAGGTTTTAGGTAAGAAGTCTTCATCACCAGAAAAAGCCTGCAAAATAAATTTACTTTATCCATATTTGGAAGATCACAAAAATTAAATAACAAGTCATAGAGTGGAGTGGGCATTTTGCCTACTGGTTAAGACACTCATGTGGGTTGGTACCTGGCTCTGGCTACCTTCTACTGTAGACCCTGTGGGGGGAGCGGTTATGGCTCAAGTAATTGGGTTCCTGTTGCCTATACAGGAATCTTGAATTACATTTCTGGCTCCCAGCCTCAGACCAGCTCAGTTCCATCTGATGCAGGCATTTGATGAGTAAATTATTTTAAATTTCTTAAATCTTTCTCTCTCTTCTTCTCTCTCCACATCCCCTATACACACTCACACACACCCTCTCTTTAAAATACTTTTTAAATTGACATGGTAAGTTTACTATGTATATAGCCAAATGAATTCTCCCATAGAGTTTAACATGTTTGAGTTAAGAAAAATTCTTTAAAGCAGAGTATAGAAATGATTTGACCACTATATATCCTCTCATGATGAGGTATCTAAAAGTACAAAGAGCAAAGCTCTGTTCCTTTGTAGATATCACCCTTATATGTGGGAGCTAAAAAAGAAAAAGGAAATGCCAGTGTGTATCATTTTTGCTGTAAATACACTGTTTTGTCAAGCTGTTTAAAATATTTGTCAGATTGATAGGATTTATATAATACTATAATTTTAATGATTTTGTGGCTATTTTATAATTTACTTTATATGAGTAAAGTTGAATACCTTTTCATTTGATTATTGTTTATAGCCCTTGCTTATCTTCCTGCTTGACTGGACTTGTTTACTTATTATTTGTTGAATTCTTTATTTAGTGGCGACATTAAGCATTTTACTATAATGTAAATTAAAAACATGTGGTCTCAACAAAACAAATAACATATAAAATCTTAAATTCATACATGTGGCTATGCAAATAGAGTCAAGGCTTCTTTCCTGGAAAGCACAGATTAACTGTTATTTTGGGTTATCAATAACCAAAAAGAAAGGTCAAACTCACCTTGATTATTGACTTCAACTTGTATGCCATTTTAAGTAAAGGACATTTTGTGTGTTTAATAGAAAAAACAGGTGCTAAGGCAAAAAATATTTTTATTCTTTCAGCTATCTTTGGGAAGGTGGAAAATGCTATGAAAGCTGAAAGAAAATAAGATATGAATCAGTAATCTACTTTAAAACCATTCTTAACATGTAAAAAATATCATAACAGAGAATAAGTGTAAGTTTGAAATACATAGTTTCTAAACAATTATTCACTCATTTCTTAATTCAATTATCAAATATTTTCAGTCACCCAGTATGTGACATTATATTGATCATGATATAGTGACAATAATTTGGATTACAAAATGGTTTAGAACATAAATGATGTTAATTTAGTAATAAATCAGACCTATAACACCATAGCTTAAAAATCAGGCATAATAATGAATATTTATGTAACTGGCAATGGTGAAAATGAAGTGAAATTTTCAGATAGGCAAAATTTACACTTTAGGTCAGGGACTCAATAAATACAAAATAGCCTTAATATTACTTTGCATACATTTTAAAACTCCTTGCCTTATCTCCTTCATGGAAGGTAGTAAAATTGGGTTTATTTTATTGATTATTTGGAGTCATTAATATGAAAATAGTCATCTTTCCTCTTCTTGCCACCTTATCTAGTTACATATCTCTTTCTAACTGCTCATTTTTCTTTTTTGCTTGTTCTGAAAAGCCAAGTACCCAAATATAATATATATCTGCATTAATGATCTCTGGCACATCATTATTTTGTAATTATTCAATTTTTGGAAATTCTAGGTTCCAGATAATCAACTGGTGATAATTTGGACTAAAACATACATATAGTTAGTAAATATCAGTGGAAAAAAATCTATGGAAAATGGAACTAAATTGTTATTCAACTTGCTTTCTCTATAGGAATTGGATTAGTCTTATAAGGAAATTATACTCTTCATTGTATTATTAATATTACCTTCTATTGTGAGATGGCTTTTTCTACCTTCAAAGTAGAATAAGAGTAAAGGGGTTTATAGAACAATGTAAGAGGATTATTTTAGGTTTTAGAGCATTTATTTCTGAAAGTGAAGTTGTAATACATTCTGAGGATAGAAAACTTCTTTTCTAGTCATCTTCAAATATAGGAAGGCATTTCAAAGTTTGATCTAAATGCAAAAACTAGCATTTTCAAGTATTTTCTATAATACTCTATACTACATTTTAAAGCAAACATAATATAAAACTTCTATTTGCGGATCTCACTTTTGTTTTTACCACATCTTTCATCTTAACAACTATGTATATCCAACTTTTTTTTTTTTTTTTGACAGGCAGAGTGGACAGTGAGAAAGAGAGACAGAGAGAAAGGTCTTCCTTTTCCATTGGTTCACCCCCCAATGGCTGCTCTTTTACACAGTATGAACAAACAAATCTGCAAACAGTCTTGTGCTTAAAATCAATGTTTTGTGACTAAAAAAAGACTATGAGAATCAAAAACAGCATGTAAGTTTCTGGAACATGCTGCTATGTTATCCTTGTCTCAGTTTTTGTTTTGCTCTGCTTGTAGGTCTAGAAGCTTATCTACAACCTTTAGAAATATATCTGTGTGTAGGCATTTAACCTAGCAGTTAAGATGCCCACCTCCCATGTCAGAACTCCTGGGTTTGTTTACTACCAATGCAAACTCTTGGGGGAGGGAGCAGTGATGGTTCAAATAATTGGATTTCTTGTCACTTATGCAGGAGTCTGGAATTGGATTCTGGGTTGCTGGTTCTGGCTCAATCCTAGCTATTGCAAGCATCTGGGGATTGAACCAACAGATGGGAGCTCTCTGTCTATCTCTCTGCCTCTCAAATTAAAAAGAAATTTATATCTACAACCTTACAGTAATTAGGGATATTTAGTAATATTTTTTCTTGGCATACCAATAGTAGTGCCCTGTGAATGGCCTATATAAAATATTTCCTCTTGTCCGGTTTGTTTCAGAACAAAATCAATAGAAGCGGGAAGGTCATATTTAGCCATCTCATCAAAACTACAAAAGAAAAAAGAAAATAAAAAGAGCAATTTCTATTAATGCTATGTTAAATTTGAAGATAATAGGTAGGTAAATGAATAAAGTCAATTTCCAACCCTCTTCAAGTATTATCAAGAAGTTACTTGGTATAATAAGAGTTTTCTAAGTCAAGGAGATATGATAACCACAAGGCAGTCATTAAAAAGGACGTTTCTGTATTTCACACAGTAAGGTAGATGAAATTTATGAGTTACAGACTGGAAAAGTAGTTCAAGTAAGTATGATGATAGTCAATAAGTTACTATATATAAAAAAAAGAATGATTACTGCTGAAAAATGAGAAGCTCAAAGTCAAACAATCACTCTTTAATTTTCAAGCCACAATTTACATATATTTTAATGGTCTTTGGAAAGTCCTAAATTAAGCAGAGACATATGTTTTATTTTACTTCATTCTATAAGAAAATAAAATGTTCAATACAATTATAAAATAAAGGGAATAGTTACTTCATTTTATTTGTACCTGAAAGCCCAGAATTCTTTGGAATTAGTTTTCAGATACTTATGTTTCCTGGACCAGGTACTCCCTCTGCTGTTTCCCATCCACACATCATAACCAGCATCTGCCAGAACGAAGCCCAGGCTATTGTTGGGAAGGTTGGAAATCCAACTGCTGGCAGACGTGAGCAAACCATGTTGCAAATATACAACAAGTCTCTGAGCTGGAAAAAAAAAATGCAAGACATTTCTTTTAAAATTTTGTAGTTTCTATACAAAACCTCTTATCTGAATTAAATCCTTTTTTAAAAGATTTATTTGAAAATCAGAGTTATGGAGAGATAGGGAGAGACGCAGAGCAAGAGACCTTCCATTTTGTGCTTCGCTAAACGCCTCCAACAGCCAGAGCTGTACCAGGCTGAAGCCAGGAGCCTGGATATTCACCCAGGACTCACACACAGGTGGCAGCCCAAGCACTTGGGCCATCTTCCACTGCTTTCACAGGTGCATTTGCAAGGAGCTGGATTGGAAGCAGAACAACTGAACTCAAACAAGTGCTCTGATATGGTATGCAGGCATCACAACTGGTGGCTTAACTTCCTGTGTCACAATGCTGGCTCCTGATTTCAAACTTTTTTTTCTTTCAGACAATGTCGAAACTTTATTAAATCTTTTTTGTAAACTTTTATTTAATGAATATAAATTTCCAAAGTACAGCTTATGGATTACAATGGCTTCCCTCCCCCATAACTTCCCTCCCACCTGCAACCTTACCATCTCCCGCTCCCTCTCCCATTCCATTCACATCAAGATTCATTTTCAATTCTCTTTATATACAGAAGATCAATTTAGTATATATTAAGTAAAGTTTTATTCAAACAGTATTTTACACTTTATGTTTCTGTGTGGGTGCAAACTGTTGAATTCGAACTTTTAATATTAACAGTTTGAAGAATTTTTAAAAATTAAAAACACTTTAAAATTGTTTGCATAAATGCAGTAAAGTTACTAATGTTTAATCTCATTGTATATTTGAGCTATTTAATATAGTTCACTAATGGGGGCCCAGCATTGTGGTATGGCAGGTTAAGTCACTAATTGCAACAAGAGCAATCCAAATCATAGTGTTGGTTCAGCTCCTTGCTAATATGCCTGGGAGGATAATGGATGATTGTCCACCTGCCATCCATGTGGGAAACCCAGATAGAGTTCTGGCCTTCTGGTTTCAGCCTGTGCCAATCCCAGCAGTTGCAACCATTTGGGGAGTGAACAAGCATATAAAAGATCTCTTTCCCTCTGTGTCCCTCTCTGTCATTCTGCCTTTCAAATGAATAAAGTAAATTTTAAAAAACAACAAAGAAATTAATATAGTTTACTAATAGATTTTTTCAAATAGACAAGTGGATATGACTCATTTTAATATATATATATATACTTCAAGCATAGAGACAAATATCTATTAGTAATTTGAGGTTACATACATCTTAAGTAACAAATTAGATAAAATATTCTATATGACATCCTCATTTTTACATTACATAAAATAATTTTAAAATCGTATCTTCACAGATATATTCAATATTGGTAATATTATCATTATCATTAGAGCCACTGTTTTAGTCACAAGAGTTCCTAGAGTCCAAATATATACTCATTTTTTTGAGAAATGACACTTTTAGAATAATTTAATTTCATGGGAAAGGGAGATCAACCCCCAGTTTGACTGACACAAACATACAATAGGCTGACTTCCATCATCGAAGTTTAGACCATCTCCATTGTACCTTGCGTTCTACGTTGCCTTATGGTACCAGGTTGAAGATATACTAGAGTTGAGACCACATTCCTGATTAATCTCTTCAGCTGCTTTCTACTGTATTCCACATCTTTTTCCTGAAATTCCCTTCATAAATCGTATGCCTGAAATTCATGTCATAGTTTCTGTGTCTAGGGAACTTGACTTAAGAATTACTACCAAAAGTGATCAAGGAACCAGACACTTAAAGATAGGGTTATAGAGTCAGATTATTTGTGCATTGGCTGGCAATGAGAATCATATCACTGGTTTGCAGGTCGGGTACTGAAAGAACATTACAGGCCGGCGCCGTGGCTCACTAGGTTAATCCTCGCCTGCGGTGCTGGCATCCTATATGTGCACCAGGTTCTAGTCCTGGTTGTTCCTCTTCCAGTCCAGCTCTCTGCTGTGGCCCGGGAGGGCAATGGAGGATGACCCAAGTGTCTGGACCCCTGCATCCGCATGGGAGACCAGGAAGAAACACCTGGCTCCTGGCTTCGGACCGTGGGGACCATTTGGGGAGGAAGACTTTTCTGTCTCTCTCTCATTGTTTATAACAACTACCTGTCAAATAAATAAATAAATAAATAAAAAGAACATTACATGCTATGGCACTTCAACTGCCACACATTCACTTGTAGTGAAATGAAATGTGATCCAGATGGGGTAACTAGCTCATACAAGATCTCTTTGACAGTTGAAAAGTACAGGGAAAGAGAAGGTCTATGGAAACGAGAGACTGTTGCTTAGTGCCAATGATGTTTTAAGGAGAGAAAGTGACTGCTTAGGATAACAAATCTCCAATCCAAGCCAAGTGCAGAAGTCATAAGTCCTCCCTGGCAATGTCTACAGACCCTCATTTTTATGGGCAGGTGGCAAACTGAGTTTAAAACCTAAGTTAGGACTTAATTTTAAGAATGAATAGAAATTAAGAAGTTTGAATTTATAGCATTGGGTAAAACTCATGCCATATTCAGAGATCTGAAAGGGAAGAAGTAGGGTCCTGAGACTTGAAAGGAAGATATCTTAAGATTATGAATTTCAGATTTCCTTGACATCACTGGGCCTACTAAAGAGATGCACTGTTCTTTGCTGGAGGATAATGACACATCTGACTTAGACAACTTTTGAGACAAGGTTTCCCTTCCTCAAGTCCCACCCTAATCCCTTCCTAGGCTTTCAATCAGTAACTGTGGTTAGGTTTTTAACATGATTTGAAGAAGTACTTAATAAGTAGAGCGGTCTACTGAATAAAATGAGAGATTGTATATTAAAGGAACTTTAAGATCTGGCTAATATGTAACAGCAGGAACTGATAGAGTATGCCTTGAGTGGATCCCAAGAGTGTTGGACACCTGGGGGATATTTATATGAAGGGAGAGGGGAGAGAGAGAGAAAGAGAGCGAGTGAGCATACCTAATCTAAAAATCTAATTTCCAAATGTTCCAAAACTTTGTGACCACCAACATAAAACTACAAATTGAAAATTCTGCACCTCAGTTAATGTGACAGGTTACAGTCAAAATATAAGCACACAAAAATACTATACAAAATTACTTTCAGGCAATATGTACAAAGTGTGTATGAAATATAAATGAATTTAGTATTTAGCTTGGTTTGCACCCCAAAGATAGCTCATATTGTATATGTAAATATTTCAAAACATAAAAAACACAAAATGCAAAGCAATCCTATTTCCAAGCACCTCAGGTGGGAATTTATACATATACTCTTACCCATTTTATCATAAAGGAGAACTTGTTCATATGGGAGTACTTTACTATAACATCAGACTCAATTATAAAGTTTAAAAATGCACTGATGAGGTGGACACCTGCAGAATTTTAAAGCTTAGAAATGGAAAACTGTTGTTTACATTGTGGGATGCAGTAAAAGTGGTGTCACTCTCACTCTGACAATGAAAAAGAACTGAACTAAGCTCAATTAATGGCCTTTTAAAAACTCATCAGAGAATTACGTTCATAAAGCAAAAATCTGGCCCCATGTCTAAGGAGAGACAGGTGCTTACAGGAAGAGAGGAGGCATATGAAAATAAGTTAAGTAGAGTAACTGAATCAGTAAAGACCAAGTTAAGGCTCACAGGACATTCTGAAGCCCACAGCTATCGTAGAAATTCAGGAAGTACACACTCTTGAAACCTCTTTTCCAAGAAACCCAAATGGATAGTCACAGAAAAGATTTCTAAGACTTATGAAAAATGTTCATTGTGCTACTGACCTGTGAGAGGGAACAGCAACCATTTGGAAGGGACAAGAAATGCTGCTCTGATGCCTTTATTTGCCTTCTAGAACAATACTCAATCTCTGTGGGTTTGTATGTGTATTCAGAGGTGGGTGGGAGGAGTATAGGAAAGGTAACAAACCCTGCATATAGTGCAGAAGCAGCAGTATCCAACCAAGTGTTGAGGATGAAACAGCCAATAGGTGTTGGACAGCCACTGTTTTGAGCCACCTGTTCAATGAGGTCTGCTGCTCGTCTTAGGCTAATCAATGGCCCGTCCCACGAAGGTAGATCCAGCTTCTGTCAGGAAAGTATGTCTGACTTGTCAGCCAAAGAGACCTGACATGGTACTATTTCTTCAGGAGACCAAACTGGAAACTTTGAGAATATTGAGTCCATTAGACACTTCTAATATACATAAGACCTCTTTATTATAACTAGGATTGATACACATTTTTGCCATGGTGTTTCCTTCCAAGTCCTCAACCAGCAGTAAGAGTTCACAAAGGGTCTAAAATAACAGAGAACCATTCACAGGATTATCAGAAATCAAGTGCTGCATTTCATGTCAAAGAAGATGCATCCTTTGGTATATGGTCATGATATAATCCCAGCAAGGGATTATGATGCTGATACAGCAATGACACAACCTCTTTAAGGCTGAGTGGAGATGCCAGATGGGAGATGACATCTTATAAGTACCACCTTCACAATTCACTATAAACCTCCAACAAGTGGTTACAATATACTCTTGATTCTTTAAGAAGTAGAATACATGGGTCTGAGGAACAAGAGGTGGGATTAGGAAAGGAAACTGTTCATCATCACTCAGGGTTGTGTGCTTCCTGTCCTCACAATTTAAGGTCGTATAGGTGTATAAGCCTTGGTTCCCAAGGAGAAAATGTTTTTCTCCAGGCATAGTAAGCATCCCCCAAAGCATTTAAAACCACTCTCTGAACAGGAAGCAAGTGGAGACTCTTGAGGCTTGCAGGAAGATACTTGTACAGGAAAAGCTAATTGTTCACTTAACCTTGTTTTCTTGTTCTTAGTACACTAAGAAGAAATGGTAAGGTTAAGAACTTCAGGCCCCAGATAGTCATACCTCTATCTTCAGTTGAGTATTACCTGAGTTATTATTATTTGTCTTCCCATAAGGAATTCTATAAAGGCCAAGGATATAACCATCTTCAGTTACAATATCATACTTTTCGTCAGGATAGCCCCAGTAGGAAATAATTTGGCTCTGGATAAAGAAAGAGGCAAATCTTTTAGCACAGTATTGTTGGCTGATTAAATTGAAGAGTTTGCTTTTTCTGATCTATTATGTAATAACAAACACTGGTATTTGCTCTCAAACTCAGGCCTGCTGTTTTTCATTTCCTTTAATTTACTGATTCATGCAGGTAATAAGTACTTACAAACATCTAATAAGCACTACTCTTACAAACTAGGAATTCAATGATAAAAAAATGAAAAAAAAATTCCTACCTTCAAAAAGGTTTCTCTAATTTTCTCCTAAGTTCAGTAACTTTCTTTTTCCTACTCATTCTTATATAATTTAAAAATATATGTGTATATGTAAAAGCTTGCATATCTATGCATATCTCTCATCTTACATCTGAAATTTTTATGTGACTATGTAGAAAACAGAAGTCCCCTATGAGGGTATGGATAAATTTATATACTTTTTTATTTTTTAAACACTTATTTGAGAAGAAGGGAGGGAGAGAAGGGTGGGGAGGGGGAAAAGGAAGAGGAGGAGGAGGAGGAGAGGGAGAGAGAGAGAAAGTGTTCCCATCTGCTAGTTCTTTTCTCAAATGCCTGCAATAACTGAGGCTGAGCCAGACCAATGTCAGAGGCCCCAAACTCAATACAGGTCTCAATGGGTGGTATAGACCCAATCCCTTGAATCAACACTGGCTGACTCTCAGGGTGTGCAATGGCAGGAAGCTAAAATTGGGAGCAAAACTGAGATTAGAACCCAGTCACTCTGATATTGGATGAGAGTGTTCCAAGCAGATTTTTAAATGCTAGGCCAAATGTTTGATCCTGTTTATGTATATTTTCATTTCAGAGATAGAATAAGGTCAAATGGAAAACTATAAACTATATAATAGTAGGTGAAGAACATTATTTGACTTATATCAAAATATATAAATGCAGATATTATTGTGTATGGTTATAAATCTATTATCTTAAAAACTCGAAAGTTTGAAGAATAGCATTCTAAGATATTCAACCAGCTTAGAATTATTTCCTAACAACTTACAATATTCATATTCGCTTCAGGGTTTATGGACCTTCGACTTCGAAAGACACCATGAGTAGTTCCAAGAGATACCATGAAGTATATCACCATGAAAAGACACCACATTTGGGATCTACACACAAAAGAGAGATGTTTGTGCTATTAAAATTGAAGCAAATAATCCTGTGACATATGGATTGTTACCATTTTCTGATGATAAAATTGAGGCTCTGAAAAAATTAAATAATTTGGCTGAAGATACATAATGTAAAACTGGTAGTCTGAATTTAGTTTTGGGATCAATTCCAAAGTCCACAATCTTTCCCACTAGCCTATTTTGTAGCAGAAATCCCTTCATGGAAGTCTCCTTCAAAATATTGTTCAGACTAATTCTGAGGGCTTTATCATTTATTTCAAGTCAATTGATGTCTAAATTAATAAGGTAATACTTTTATTACCAGTCTAACATTTATTTAAAGAATGCTTGCTTGCTTTGTTTCTTAGTGGGAAGGAATAAAGGGGTGGGATTTAGAAGTTTGAATAACTTCCATTCAGCCTCTCAGGGTCTGAATTTTATTTTGCTTACAAAATTTTGTGTTTTGAGTCTCCCAAATTCTGGTCAGCCAAAACACATAAATTTTTTCTAGAAAAATAAGATACCAGATCATTACAGAAGCTGCTTCCTGGATTCTCTCCTAAAAAACACAACTTGCAATACGCTATGAGCTTTGTACAAGATACCTACCACTCTACCTGAAAGGACATCATGCATGCATTTTAAAACTCTGAGCTCCACAACTTACTAGCTAGGTGACTTACAGCAGGTTAATTAACCTCTGTGAACATCAATTCCCCTACCAATAAAATGCAAATAGTGCCAACTTCTGAAGGTTATTATAAAAGTAAAATTTGATATATGTGGTATGATACATTTTTAGCATAATACTCATCACAACAAATTACTTATTAGCAATTTAGGACCACAATTTATGTGCATATAATTAAAGCATTTCGTATATATTTCAGTGCAATATTTTCATAACCTGGTACAAATGATTTGGATCTGAAAATCTTAAACTGCATCTACTTTTTAAAAAAGGTTTTCTAAAAAACTTCAGTTCACAGAAACTAGCCTCTTTCCTTTTGGTTCAATATTTATTATTATGTTATTTACTTGGAAGGCAGAGAGACAGACTGAGAGATACTTCCCATACATTGGGTTCACTCTGCAAATATGCTCAATAGCTGAAGCTGAAGCAGGCAAAAGGTAGGAGAATGGAACTCTATCTAAGTTTCCCACGTGGGTAGCAGAGACACAGCGATTTGAGTCACGATCTTCTGCCTTCCTGGGTACACATTAGCAAAAAGAACCAAGTGTGTAGCTAGGACTCAAACTCAGGCAGGCACTCAGATAGGGAAAGTGGACATCCCAACCTGTGGCTTAACCACTAGGCCAAACACTTGCCCTCAGGTATATATTTTTTATAATGTCAGCGATTTTCATTGAAGGAACAAGCAAATTTTAAAACAATATTATCAAGACTTTCTACCAAAGATAAGAGAAAGCTATTGATTTAAGTGCATAGGAAAAAAATTTTAACATTTGGAAGCAAATTTTAGAAATCCGTCCTTGGTTGTATTCTTGGGAAAGAATCTGTCAGGCAACAAAGCTATTCAATCCTCTGTCTTCCTGGGAAGTCTCAGGTAGTACATGTAAATATCATGGGAAGGAATATTTTCTATGTATTAACTGATTTTGTAGTAAGAGGGGGGATAGGGAGAGAGAGACAGTTAATGTGCATTTGAGATGCAGATGATGGCTCAAGGACTTAAATCCCTGCGATCCATGTAGAGAGATCCAAATGAAGTTTCTGAGTCTTGGCTTCATCCTGTACCAGCTTTGGCTGCTGTAGGTATTTGGGGAATGAATCAACAGATGGAAGATCTAACAGTGGCTTAACCCATAGTGTAGTAACACCTGCCCTATTTTATAAATTAAAAAAAAATTCCCACAGGATAAGTATCATATTATATTCCCCCTCAATGGTGCACAAATATTTTACTATCTCCACATCCTTATCAATTTTTGTTATTTTCTGGATTTTTGTCATTGTTTATTACTACTGGATATTGCATTCACATGGCATTTATTATTTTAACCATCCTTAAGAGAATAGTTCCATAATATTAAATACATTCACACTTTTATACATCCATACCAGCATCCATCTCCAAAAGTTTTTTCATCTTCCTCAAGTGAAACTCTACATTTATTAAAAACTCCTTACTTATTTTGTTCTTGACAGGCAGAGTGGACAAGGAGAGAGAGACACAAAGAGAAGGGTCTTCCCTTGCCGTTGGTTCACCCTCCAATGGCCGCCGTGGCCGGTGCACTGCGGCTGGCGCACCATGCTGATCCCAAGGCAGGAGCCAGGTGCTTCTCCTGGTCTCCCATGGGGTGCAGGGCCCAAGCACTTGGGCCATCCTCCACTGCACTCCTGGGCCATAGCAGAGAGCTGGCCTGGAAGAGGGGCAACCGGGACAGAATCCAGCGCCCCGACCGGGACTAGAACCCGGGGTGCCGGCGCCGCAGGTGGAGGATTAGCCTAGTGAGCTGCAGCGCCGACCTGTAGTAAGTCTTGTAATCAGTAAGTATAAGGCCTTTTTTCCTAACACAAGAGACTATTATTTATTATTTCATACTGTGTGAGAGAGAAAATTTTTGTTCAATTTTATAAAGTATACTTTTGCAAAAATGCCATGGGTACAATTGCTAAATAAATTCAATAAATATGTACAAATTCCGAGAATCATTACCAATTTTGTGCTCTTTCTCAAGCCTCATTGGTTGAATCATAAAAGATTTTTAAAAGAGCTACTGTATTTTTATCAAATTTAAGACTGCCATGAAACAAGAAATAATCAAATATATAAAATCACAGGATGTCATGCTTTTTCACCAATATCAAGCTGAGAGGAAAAACTCATTTATTACCTTACTAAACAGGTGTTAGAACTTATGTTGAAGTGAAAACCTTTCTCAAAATTAAGATTTATACATTTACCTAGCATGGTTCAATATGTAGATTTTAATTATAACCAAAACATCATATAAATTGGCTATAAAAACAATTTTATTGACTGTGGTAAATTTAGGTTTGCTTTTCAACTCTAATGTGAATTTCATATTAATAATACTAAATTGACATGAGGTATTAAATATACTTAACTTGTACAGATGGAGTTTTCAAATTGGTATGCTCTAGTTTCAAAGTCTAATCAGCTCTTCTAAAAGAAATGAAGAAGTTTGTTAAAGTGGATGCAAATATAACAGAAAAACATGATTTTATTGATAGTTTGGTTGCTGACAATCTTTTAAATAAGTTTGGAACAATCTGGGTGTGTAAAATGACTGTTCAGGGTAAATTTTATGAACTCTATAAAAATAGTTCAAGATGCCTGATAAATTTAGTTCGTGAATTGAGATATTTTAAATACACACTGGATTTTGAAGGCTTAAGAAAGAAAAGGAATATAAAACATCTCATTAATAACTTGTCTAGTACTTACATGCTGAAAATATTTGCATGTAATGGATTGTTATTTATTAAGCTCACACAAAAATAGTTACTGCTTTTAAATTAAAATATTACTTTGACCAACAAATATTATACCTAATAGAGCGAGTAATCATTATTGCTTCAACTTACATCACTCACCATAGCTTTCCATCCATGCTGGATGCCTGGTGAAATACTATTCCATGAATCAATCACTGGTGCTTTGCTTTTGTTTAGAATCAAACTTTTAATAGGGCAATCAAAGATGCAAGCCAGGCAGAAAATGTAGTTTTGTACCAAGCACTAAATTCAAGTAGCCAAAATTTCAAATAATTATTTTTAAAGATTACTCAGTTGGCAAAAGTACTTAAACAAAATATGATAGTATCAAACATCTAAATTATTAATAATACTTATATAATATGTATGAGTGAAATTTACATCTTGAGATTTGATTATTTTTATAGCCCTTGTCTCTATTCCTGAGGAACAGTGGTTTTTATACTTCATACTTGCTGAATTCTTTATATAGTGGAGGATTAAGCTTGTGATTAAAAAGGAAATTGGATTCACGTTATCACAAAAAAAAACAGAAGAAAAATAAGAAAGTAAGGAGGCGGGAGGGTTGGAAGTATTGTTATGTTCTTAAAACTATATATATGAAATATATGAAATTTGTTGCCTACATATAAATTAATTAATCAAAAATCATACTCATCTACAACTACAATAGAATTTCTTATAATTTTTCTCTAGTTTCCATCATTAAAATGATAAATTTGACTTTAGACAGCACTTAACAATTAAAAATAGTATGCCATACCTCTCTGCTCTTATAGATTTTAGTTGTCCAATATATGTATATGTATCTTCAAACAGTCAATCATAGGTTGTTTCCTTTAGCAAAAATTGCTAGGTAGAATGATACAGAAGCTTGAAGAAAAATTTACACTGAAAGATAAAATGAAATGAGACCATTTTGAAAAACCTCAATGCAAAATCAAACTCATATTTGATCAAGGATCTAAAACCAATCCCTGGAGTAAGGACAGTCTATTCAATAAATGGTGCTGGGAAAATTGGATTTCCACGTGCAGAATCATGAAGTAAGACCCCTACCTTTCACCTTATACAAAAATTCACTCAACATGGATTAAAGACTTAAATCTACAACCCAACACCATCAAATTACTAGAGAGCATTGGAAAAACCCTGCAAGATATAGGTATCGGCAAAGACTTCTTGGAAAAGACCCCAGAAGCACAGGCAGTCAAAACCAAAATTAACATTTGGGATTGCATCAAATTGAGAAGTTTCTGTACTTCAAAACAAACAGTCAGGAAAGTGAAGAGGCAACCGACAGAATGGGAAAAAATATATTTGCAAACTATGCAACAGATAAAGGGTTGATAACCAGAATCTACAAAGAAATCAAGAAACTCCACAACATCAAAACAAACAACCCACTTAAGAGATGGGCCAAGGACCTCAATAGACATTTCTCAAAAGAGGAAATCCAAATGGCCAACAGACACATGAAAAAATGTTCAAGATCACTAGCAATCAGGGAAAT